CTTCTATGGGCATTTGCTGATCTGTGGAAAAACTTGGTGTTGTTGTCACCCTGTTTCTGCCAGTTGACCCTTGATCTTTGCCTCCAAGCTATTTCCTCACATTTAGCTATGGTTTCAAAATCTACAAGGAGTTCTGCCTTTGAGAGTGTCTCATCTTCTGTTAATACTCTTTGATCCTGAATTCCTCCAATTCTGCCAGCTTCGCAAGGATGTTCTGTTTCTGCATTGCTAAATTCCCATTGGAGGTCTTTGCCCATTCCTTCAATTTATCTTTTAAGGCTCTCAATTTGAAAGCTAAGATAAAATCTGGCCTCCCTTCACAGACTATAGAGTTCCACCACATCTTAACTCTATCCAGAAACCCTTTTGTTTGCAGCCACCAATTTTCAAATTTGAAATAAGATCTTCTAGGTTCCCAGTTCCCACTTTGGAGCAAAATGGGTGTGTGATCAGAGGTCACCTTGTGTAAGGTTGTCTGCTTAATGTTCTTGAATTCCTCATTCCATTCTTCAGAAAATAAGAACCTATCAAGCCTGGCAGCAACATCGTGACTCTCCCCTTTCCTCCAAGTGTATTTGCTCCCTATCAAATGTGGATCTTGAAGACTCATATCCTCAATGAAATCAGACAGATCATACATTGCTCTTGTGAATCTAGAGCAGTTTCTCTTTTCTGAAGGGAATCTGACAGTGTTAAAGTCCCCACATACTACCCAAGGCCCATCAAAAAGTCCTCTGGCTGAGCCTAACTCCCAACATACTTCTTCCCTTTCTACTCTGTTGTTAGGAGCATAGATGCCTGTAAGACACCAAGTGAAGTCGCGGTTCTTCCCTGTGAACTTACAGGTTAGGGAATAGGCCCCCAGACTACTTACTTCTCCTGTCCAAACTTTCTCATCCCATAGAATTAAAATACCTCCCCTTGTCCCACTAGCTTCCAGCTGACAAAATCTGACCCCTCTGTTTGCCCACAAATCTTTAACCAAATTCTTGATATCTCCTTGAATTTTGGTCTCTTGAAAGCAATAAACATCAGCTTTCCATTCGTGAATTAAATTTTTGATGATACACCTCTTGCTTGCCTGATTCAGGCCCCTCACATTCCATGATACTATGGAGACTGTCATTGATCAACATTAATTTTGTAACCCCCCCTGCTCCTTGTACCATTGCTTCTGAAATTACTTCCGCACTCGAGACTCTTCAATTCTTTGGCTCCCTTTGCTGCCGGGGTCATTCTCCTGTCTTTTCTTCCTTGTTCAAATTTTTTTGTCTCATGTTGTCAATTTTCATGAATAAACTTGTTGCTTCCTCTTTGCACCCCTTGATGTCGACACCAAATTCTTTGGCAAATTTGATGATGTTCTGATGGATCCATATAGGAATATCGAAATCCGGATCCTCCCCTTCCCCTGGGCTATGTTGATTCAGAGGTACTGCATCTACAATTGTTGTCAACCCGGAGATGTTATCTTCACTTCTCAACATAGCAGAAACTTGCATGGCACTGTCTTCTAGGGTTTGGGGGTTTTCAGTTACCCTCGCTTCCTCTTCTCTGCTGTCTTCATGAAAGTCATCTTCTTTTCCAGTTTCCTCTCGATCCTGTTCTGCCTCTTCCCCTTCTCCGCAGTTCAGCGTAATGTAGAGGTTGGAATTATTAGCCTCAAGTTCGGCTGAGATTGGGTCAATTAAAAAAGAGCAGGGCTTACTCACTAGCCCAGTTGAAACGAATTGGGCCAGCAAATCTGGGCCCAAATTTTTCTTTTTAACTACAACATCAGACTTATTTGATGTGGTGGGAAGTGGGACCTCAGCCACTCGTGCCTTGACACGCGCCGAGACAGCTGGCCAATTCAAAATCTCAGGATCGAAAGACGAGCCCACGTGCCCTGTCACCTCTGTAAAGCCTAAAAGGCTTTCATCTTGAATACCAACAGTCCCTTCATCAGACCGCTGGGTATTTAGGGGAATTTTGCTGCGACTATCGGCGACCACTTTCACCGGCATCTCTACCCAGATTGGAACTTTGAAGGTTAAACCTTCATGGACTAGTTCAACTGACTTCGGGACTGAGTCGCCGTCCCCTCTCACCTTCATCCTGGCCCATTTAAGATGGTTTCGCAGTTCTGTTTCTTCCTCCGTTCTGATCCAGCCACCACATAAGTTTCCGATTTCGCGGAAAACTTTTTGTGACCAAAGTTGGAGAGGCAACCCTACTACTCTGATCCAAACCTGGTCCAACCTGTTGTGAGAAGAGGTTGATGTCGGCGACCACCATTGCATGATGAATTTGTGGGATTTCCAGAACCACTCTCCTCTAACAATATGGTCCGCCGCTGTCTTGTTAGGAAACTCGAAGAGGAACCGGTTATGGCCCAAATCGTAGATGTTGATGCCATGCTTGTGTTTCCATGTGCTTGCCGCCCATCGTCTAATCTCTGAAAGAGGAGTCTCTGACACCTCCTCTGGGAGACTACCAATCACGCTTTTTGCTAGAATCTCGTTTTGGTTTGTTGTTGTAGCATCTGTAATAACGAGTTTTTTCCCTCTTTGTTGGATCTTGGCACCATTCATTTCTCTTGTAGCCCATTTATTATTTCTGACAGTATCCGAATATGAAAGACCCTCCTCAGTTTCTCTGTGCATCATCTTAACTGCCTTATGTGCTTTAACATTTATGAATCTCGTTATTTTGGTGGCTATATCCAGCCAACCAGAATTAAAAGACCACTCAGGTATAAAAATGACTGCTCTTCTTTTACCTTGCAACTTAAGGATGCTAACATAACGACCCGATTTGTTGTAATTCCTTGAGCAAAAGACCTCCGCGAACTGGTCTCGATACTTCCATCTGCTTACTGAGATTCCCTGTCCCTTCGATGCTTCCTTGAGAGCGAAAACTAACCACTCCATTGTCTTCTGGCTAATACTCATTCTGGTCATCATCTTACGACCTCGTTCTACTCAGTCGTACCAAGTTTCCGCCCTGGAAACTCCTCTGGTAATATCGAAAGATTTGAATCCTACTGCAAAATAGATGGTATCGTCCCCCATGGTTGGAGCAAAGAAAGAAAGATAGGAATGAAAAGGGTTGGAGGAAGATCCGGCGATGGAAGATCGCCGGGAAAGGGGTTCCTAGGGGTCCAGAAGGGACCACTAGTATTTTACCTTGGTAAAAGTGCCTGGGAGCATTTAATCTTAACTACTCATTTCTTACTCCATTTGCTAATTTGAATGATGTTAAATTCAAAAATTAAATTTTGTAATGTGAGAATTCATCATCAATGAGGTTTGGGGTATTGGGATTTTAGGTGGTCTTGGGTCTGCTATTTTGTCTCATGAGTCATGAATGGTGGTTTTTGTCCTGCGGGCAGATATTTTTGGTAAATTTTGCATTGCACTTCTAGGTGCTCTCTTTCTCTTAGTTATAGTTATTTAACTACAATTTTTTTTTCCTATGGATTATGTGTAGACAAACAAATTAGTCAAGGAAGGTGACACTCAAGAGAACTCTGAATTAAGTTGATGTGGTGTAATCCTTCTTATCAAACCTTTTTTCGAACTTATGAATGAAAATGACATGTAGTTGTCGTCAGTTTCTCATAGGTCAAGGTTGGTTCCGGTGAATCTTAAATTCTCAGATAATTTTTGTGGATTTTATGTCTGAAAGGAAATTGTTGTAATATTTCCTGTTAAGAAAAGTGATGTTTGGGATCGGCAATGTAAATGTGGGTTTCCTATTTGGTACCAAAAAAGTAGTATCTTCGAGTCCTTTCCAGTGCTCTTATATTCTAGGTCTTCAATTTCAATGGAAAAAAGGAGTAAAAACAATATGCTTCCTATTATTGCATGTTTCCTTTTCTAATTATAATTTTTTTCGTTCTTTTGTCTTGTTGCAGATGGTGTGGGAATTAATCCTCAACAAAGTGCAGGTAATGTCACACTTCACAGGAATATTTTGTAGTTACCTCGTGTATATTTTTTTTCCTGCTAAATTAATGGCTTATTTGTTTTGTGGATGATAATAATATCTGGAATGGAAGTTTTAAAATATATATTTCTGTGTCTGATAAAATTTTATTGCATTAAGATCCAAGAAATTTTCAAGGATTAGTGTCTTGTTTAAAGAAAATCGGGTCTATCTTTAAGCTTACCTTATTAGTTTTTGGATGAAATAAGTAAGAATGCAAATTTATATACAGGCTTTTCCTTTTTATTCTTTTTTCTGTCTTTGTGAATTTCACTGCCTATTACTGGAGAAAGAGTAGTTGCATGGAGCTCAAGGAACTGTGATAATTTTTGTCTAGAAATGGAAGAATAAAATTGTTGCGCGTCTCTCTCTATCTTTTCTTTTGGTTTGGAGCATTTTAAGAATCTGTGGAGAAACTGTTGGTGTCTTTTCATTATGGATTTATCTGTCTCTCTTCAGCCATAGTTGGGTGTGATAGTTTTTTCGTTTACACTGATGTGATTATATAACTTATTGAGTTCTGAATTTTTTCTTCCTAGATTATCTGTTTTTGAACTTGTTTCAACTTGAATGTCATTTCAGGTAACGTCTTTCTTAAACATGGGTCTGAACTGCGCCTAATTCCTCGGGATAGGGTTGGTGCTTCGTGGATCTCATTCTGAATGTTTAGCTCTATATTTCATCTACCTACGTCTTGGGGAAATATCCTTTCCCAAACGAGTAGCACATTATGTTTAGATGTCCTCATCTTTTAATGTTGTAATTCTGAGTATAGTTTGAATATCAGATTCAAATAAAATGGTTATGCTATTGCTTTTATCTAGCCTTCCTTTTCCGATTTCTGCAATTTTCTTTTGGCTAAAGAATTTGTCCAGTTTCCAAGTACTTAGTAAGTTTCTAATGCATTGTTTGGAAACTTTTTCTTCTTTTGCCATTTGGTATCTGAATGGTTGGTGAGCAAAATAATCTATATGCTGGTGATTAGATGTTATGTAATAGCAATCTTATGAGTTCAAATAAAAAGGAGAGATTAATTACATAGAGAGATTTTTGAATTACAAAATAGACTTGCATGAAGGCTTCAATTCTATTTCTTTTGACAAGTCACACTTCATCCCCATTCCAATTACCTTTCATCTTGGGACCAGTAGGCCCTTCTTCTCCATAAACTTCATTTGGCAATACTTTCACCAATTTCTCAAATGCACCTTTCAAGTTCCCTTTCAATGAGCTCTCAATTTTCTTAACTTCATCCCCAAGTGTATAACTTAACTTTGGTCCCCATTCTCTTGTATAATTTAGCCATGCTGGCGCGATTATTTCAAGATTTTCAGCAGCAACTATTGAATAATTCTTCCCACAGTCCAAAACCAAGTTACTCTTAGCTGTATCATTTCTTATCCCAATATCTCCACCCCCTTGTAAAACTAAGCCTGGTTTATGGTAAATGGCATGTCCATTTAGTGAAGAATAGACCACAACTTTGTTACTACCATTTTGAAATTCAACTTGTGGTGCATCAAGCCATGTCCCTCCACTATGTTGCGAGACGTAAACTTTGTACAACACTCCATTGAAATTGCTGATCCTAAGTGTTACATGTTCCCAATCACCTACGTGTTCGCCTATTTTACCAAAGGGTACATCAACTAGGCCAAGTTTAGCTGTACCAGGTCCATTGAATGGATAGAAAATCCACACAGCTATGTCTGTGAAAGTTGCCCCTAACGTTGGCTTAATGTGGAGATAAACCTCAGAGTTTAGTAAATCTCCTTTAATAGCTTTCTCTTTGTCCTTCTCATCAATTGGCAAGTCTAGCCAATAAGCACCATCATTTGGACCATCTTGTGGAAGATTTGAGCCATTTGGTTCAATGGTACTAGGATTTGATTCTTGACCTTTTTGGTATAGCAAAGCACCATTAGCAAAATACCAATTGACAGAGGAAGGTAGGTACTTTTCTTTAGGGTGAAAGTATATAATTGGAGAGTATTGTTCAAATAATGCTTGAATTTGGCTAAGGTTAGGCATAGAAGAAAAGGTATCAAACTTATTATTCTTTAAACAAGCAAGGGATAAGGTTTTGTTAGACTCATCATCTTTATCACTTGTGATCCTAGCTAAGAATGTGCCTACACTAACCCCTTGTGCTTTTACGCCTCTTTCTCGAGGTCTCACACTATGAACATTGATACCATTCACCTTACTGGTTGTACCTTGACCCCATACCCAACTCTCAACCTCTAAATCATCTGTTAGATCGGATCGAACACATTGGATTTTGTCTAAGGCAGGTTTTTCAGGTGAAGTTGTGACAACATGGCCTAATGCCTTGTAACCCTCAGGTGGAATTGGTTGCCAAATATAGCCATGATCATTGGTATTTGTGTTCTTGAATTTTGAGGATTCACTACTCCAAACAAGTGTGTAATCAATTGGATTCTTTAGGATTTCACCAACATTGTCTTTCCCTACAAGTACCCAACCAAAAAGGGGTTTATTGTTTGGTTGGCAATAACATCCAAACATAGAAAATCCATCTGGAATTGGTGAAGGCTCGTAAAATGTTGCTCCAAGATTCTCTAGTCCTCCTTTATCAATAGCCCAAACTTTGTTAAATGTCACAATTTGGCAAACTTTTAGCCCTCCTAAATCAATATATCCACTTCCAAAATCTCCTGTTCCTGTCATTAGACCTTTAACATCAATAAACTTATGGCGATAGACAGATTTTGTAGCTAAACAGTAAAATTTGTCACTATTCATCTAACTAGCAACGAATTAGCTACAAATTATTTTAAAAAATCGTTAGTTACTAGCAATTTAGCGATAATTAAGAAAGTGAAATTTCAAACCTGGTGGCCAATTGGGCAATGGAGATGGAAGCTTGAAAATTGTATCAATGGGCAAATATTTGATTTCTTTGTGTAGAGAAGGAATACAATTTCCCATGAGATTTTTTTTTTTTTTTTTTGGTGAATTGTAACTTAGGATAGATTAGAAACATATCCAAAACAAGTAAATATATGACAAAAAAAAAAAAAGCATATTCCAATTTTGAGGTGGTTGAGAATTGTAGACCAATGTAGGCAATTAATTTACAGGTCCCATCAAGTTATTGAGTAGAACAAGTCTTGTTTGCTTGCTTATCACTAAAGAGATTAATACTTCTATATATTATTCAAGCAACAAAATACTTTTTTTTGTTCATGTCTGAGCTTTATTTGCAAAAGTGCTAAGTTTTGAAGAATTCTATTATCTTTTCTCTTGTCTAAACTTCAATTGTTACCTAGCTCATTTTTTTTTGGGTTTGATTCAATTTCTTTCTTCAAAATTAAATATAATCAAATCAATCCTTCGATTTGATGTAACTTACTGGTTACTTTGAATAGGGGCGAAGCCAAGTGGGGACAGGAGGGTTCATCGACAAAAAAATATTATTTATGTAAGATCAAACTTATATTTCATGTAAAATTCTGACTCCACCACTGTTTAAAGTACTTACAACCAATTTCCATGTAGCAACAACATGCAAAACACATGTATGATGCATATAGGTGACCGACAAATGAAATTTGTCAAAGTTAATTAACTGTGAGTGGTGGAAAATATGCAACGTACAAAGAACAATCACTCACGTATACCCACCCTATCATCAGTAGAGGCGATTCTAGAACTTTTAGAACACGAGTATTGCACCACTAAGAAAATAAAAAGAAAAAGATGTATTAAGCGAGGATTGATTCCTAATCCTCAATAGCTAACTAAGCATCTAATCAAATGTATGATAACTTTACGAAGGACCACATGTTAACGTGACTCATTTTTAACGGGTAAATTCACCCCGAACCCCATGCAAAGGGTCTCATAACACGTGACCTCAAGGAATTGCCGCAACCCCTTAATCACTAGATCAAACCTTCAACTTGTGTCAAGAGGTGTCAATACATGTATATATATTATTAAACCAAAATTGACCTCTATATACAATGTAATTTTCCGATGAAGGAGTGTCACTTGACACCCCTTGGTAAAGGGTGGCTCCGACATGTATATATATATTAGTGAAAGGAACCTAACTCATCTGACTGTGCTCACACCCCGCTTCCCACCTCCCGCACGTCCAAGTCATCTCCACCGAGCAGTTCAATAAAATTAGTGACCTAAAATTAATAATAAGAGATTTCAAGTTTTTTTTAAAAATATTAGTGCTTGTTGTGCATGAAATAACATATACTTATATTGTTAAGAACTTATCTGTTAGAGTCAAACAAAATTAAAAGAAAAGAAAAGAGCAAGCTAAAATGATAAAAGTAATCATATTTCAGTTACTTATTAGTTAAAAACTTGAAATACTTGCTATTGTCTAATAAGTAGGACAACAATAAATATGAGTAGGTTGACTTATGTATTATAGGCTTAAGTGATTACAATTATACAGATGTAGCTAGTACAATAGTTCTAGCAGAAGAAAATAATAAGATCTTTTTGAAGTTGAACTTTGGAATAACACGTTTGGCCAAAATTTTGAAATTTAACTTGAAGTTAAATTCTAAAATTTTCAAGAATTTGAAAAATAACAATAAAGTGTTTTCACTTTTTTTCACTCTAAATAACTCACAAAAAGTAAAAAATAACTCCAATTTATTACTACCGAGTGAAGATAGAGAGATCGTTTCCAACATTCCCTCGACAATTGTTTGATTGCAACTTGCAATAGTGGTATAAAGTGGAATTTGTGTCCAGCATTTTCTAGTTTATTTGGATGAAGAGAGGTGTTATTCAAGATACATAAAGTGTGTTTCACTGAGCAAATTGCATTCTATTTATTATTTTATGCATGATAGAAAGTGAAATAGTTAATACATGAATACCTAATCACTATATAGCTAATACATGCATCTAATAATATATAGATTCACGCATAACTAATCCCACATTATTAATACCTGCATAACTCTAACCATCTACGAAACGGCCCCTAAGTACTTGGGAAAAAAATAAGGGGGCTATTTGGCCGGCAGCAAGAAAATCTCATGAAATTATTATATCTCCACCTTTTATATGAAATAAAAAGTAAGATAAAATAATTTTTAAATTAATTAATATTTCAAATTAAATATTAAAAAATTTTAATTTTTAATTTCTATCTCAAGATTGTTATCGTTATACCACATATCAAAAGACTCAAGAGTAGCATTATGCTACCTATAAACCATACACTTTGTGCCTCCAGAGAAAGTGAAGGACAAAAGTTTTAAAATTACTTCTAAAAATAATTTCAATATGCTCTATTTTAGTTTATTGTCTTTGCTTTATTTCTTCTGATTGGGCTTTTGTTGGGCTGAATCTATTTTTTTTTGTCATGGACCATGGTTTTTGTTTAAGGAAAAACTACATAATTAGACATAGTTCATGTCATATATATATATATATATATACTTCTAAAACATTACGTAACTTACTACTAATTAAGAGTTTCAACCATATATTGATCGAGGAAGATACACTTAGATACATGTAATTTGCTACCGAACACATTAAAATAGGGAGAGAAGCGAGCGAGATGAGGAGGGAAGCGAGCGAGATTCGTATGTATCTCAGATACATGCGAATCACACTAGATACATACTAGATACATGAACATGTAAGTATCTAGCGTGATTCACATGTATTTGAGATACCAGATACATGGGAGAGGGAGAGAGGCGAACGATATTTGTTGTGTCCCAGATACATGCGAATATACTTGAATACAATGTATCTAGAACAAATTACACTTAATTTTGACCCATGTATCCGGAGATACATGTATGTAGACACATCTGAATGTATCTAGACGCACCAAAATATGGTAAGATATGAAATATTACAAACTAGAGTGTATCTAAATAATTAGCTTCTATTATAAGTTCCCCTTTATTTAATAATACAACATATAATTTTAAAAAAAAACTATTTATCATTAAAAAAAATAAATTAAAATCAATTTTAAAAATTTCAATATGCATGTATTTTGCAACGACAATAGATAAAGTATGACCAAGTAAGCTCCAATGTTGGACTGCATTTGCCATAGCAAATTTTATTTGCACTTTTTAGGATAAATACTTATTGCAGTCTATGTTTATATTTAATAATTTATAATAGGTAAATAATTTAATGAAATATTACATAATTAATAATCGCTAATATTGAATGTCTATATATAAATACGTAACATACATCTAGTAGTTTGGTACAAAACATGTGTATATAATTAATTTTTATCCACTTTTTAGTAGATTAATGAAATCGACAATAAGATTTCTGATCATGATTAAGCAATTAAAACTATAGAAGGAAATGACGACAAGGATCTATCTGATAAAAAAACAAATGAAGGGTAAAACTAATTTATTTATGATAATTTATTTTAACCTTTTTTTTTCCTAATTTATTTCAACAGTCACCAACTAACTGACTTACAGACTACTGACTAACTATCAACTAAGTAATGGATCAATTAACTTATTAACTCCAATACAAGATTAATTAATTAGATATAATTAATTGTGAACTCACTGACTGACTACCAACTGCTAATGGATCAATTAATGGATAATACAAGATTAATTAGATATATATTAATTGTGATCTTCAACAACCTTCAATTTTTTTTTAAAAAAAACTTTTAAGTCAAAAACTAGTTAAAATAGTTCAACCCAAACACCTGTTATTTAATTTGTACTAACAAATACTTATAACAATAATTTTGCGGAAACACAAACAACAAAATTTTAAAGTATGTATGCAAAAACAACAATCAATAACATAAAATGATAGTGTGAACATATGCTTATTGTATATTATCAGAAAGATCACAACTCTTTGGAAAAGTTACAACCCTTCGAAAAAGGTCACAACCTTTAGTCGCAACTTTTCATAAAAGTCACAACTCTTCATAAAAATCGCAACTTTTCATTAAAGTCACAACTCTTCATAAAAGTCGCAACTTTTCATGAAAGTCACAACTCTTCATATTTCATTCACACCTTTTAAAACCCAATAACATCCTCTAATCATGTACCAGAAAAGGAAAAAAGTTAATCACAATAAATATTTTTTTTCCATCAACATAACTTAGCTACTAATTTTCCAACCATTTGACCTCTGTTCTGTTTTTTTGGATAATAAATAAATTAAATAGTTGGAACCATTAAATATTTCTCCTAATAGTAGCACTATTTATAGAACCATACTTCCTCACTTGATCTTCCAACATAAACAAATCCATCACTTATATGAAAAAAATGGAGGGTACAGTGAAATGCTCAGCAAACTTTGTGCCATTGAGTCCAATTAGCTTCTTAGAAAGATCAGCAAAAGTTTATGGTGATAGGCTCTCTATTGTTCATGGAAATGTGAGATATACCTGGAGAGAAACTCGCGAAAGGTGTATCCGACTTGTTTCTGCTCTCACACACCTAGGAATTTCTCGTGGGGACGTGGTATGTGTTTATCGTTCAATTCACTTTAATGGTTTCTTAGTTGTTAGTATGAATGTTTTATTAAATTTTTTAATGTTGTAATACACAAAATTTGTGAGCAGGTTGCTGCCTTGGCTCCAAATATTCCTGCATTGTATGAGCTACACTTTGGAGTACCAATGGCAGGGGCAGTACTCTGTGCACTTAATACGCGTTATGATTCAGATATGGTCTCTGTATTACTTAAGGAGTTAGAGGCGAAAATCATATTTGTAGATTACGAATTGCTTGATGTTGTTAAGGGTGCATTAGAAATTCTATCAAAGGAAAGGGTAAAGTTGCCGCATCTAATTCTGATTTCTGATACAGAGAGTGAGTTATCCAGCCCGAATAATAATTGGAGTTTGGTTTCGGAGTATGAGTCGTTTTTAGCTAGTGGAGAATCTGATTTTGAGATTGTATGGCCAAATGATGAATGGGATGCTATTGCTGTGAATTATACGTCAGGAACAACATCGAGGCCAAAAGGGGTTGTGTATAGTCATAGAGGGGCATATCTTAATTCTCTGGCTGCAGCTCTTCTCACTGAAATGGCTTCGATGCCTGTGTTTTTATGGACTGTTCCAATGTTTCATTGCAGTGGATGGTGTCTTACTTGGACTGTAGCAGCACAGGGTGGTACAAATATTTGTATGAGAAATGTGAACGAAAAAGGGATTTTCGACAACATAAGTCAGCACCAAGTGACTCACATGGGTGGTGCACCTACGATTCTGAACATGATAATAAACGCGCCACAAAGTGTTCAAAAACCACTCCCAAGGACAGTAAATGTTATGACAGGTGGTGCTGCGCCTCCTCCTCAAGCTCTACTTAAGATGAAAGAGCTTAATTTTAATGTTACTCATGGATATGGTCAAACAGAAGCTTATGGTCCAGCAGCTGTTTGTTTTTGGAAACCAGAGTGGAACTATCTGTCCCCTGTTGAGCAGGCTAATCTTCACGCTCGTCAAGGAGTGCACCATCTTGGCTTAGAGGACGTAGACGTAAAGGATTCTGAATCAATGAAGAATGTACCCTCAGATGCAAAAACAATAGGTGAGGTGATGATTAGAGGAAACACAGTAATGAATGGTTACTTTAAGGATATGAAAGCAACAGAAAATGCTTTTAAAGGGGGCTGGTTTCGTAGCGGGGATTTAGCAGTGAAACATCCTGATGGTTACATAGAAGTAAAGGATCGTTCAATTGACATCATTATCTCCGGTGGAGAAACCATTAGTTCAATCGAAGTGGAGTCTGTTATCTTTAGCCATCCATCTGTTTTCGAAGCTGCTGTAGTGGGAAAACCAGATGATCACTGGGGTGAAACACCTTGTGCATTTGTTAAACTGAAGAATGGATGCAATGCCAGTGCTGATGAGATCATCAAGTATTGTCGCGATCGTTTGCCACAATACATGGCTCCTAGGACGGTTATTTTTGATGATTTGCCAAAAACATCAACCGGAAAGACTCAAAAGTTCGTTCTGAGAGAGAGAGTCAAAGCCATGGGAAGCGTTTCGAAAGGTAGCTAACTATAATCAGTTGTGGTGCGGAAATGGAGCTTGCTTAGACATAAGTTTAATCATAGTACATAAATAAGACTAGTGCAGCATAACAATAGAGGAATTTAACCTTTTGAAAAAGGGTTATTATTATTTACTCTATTGGATGCTTTAATATTATAATCGTCAGATAACATATTAGTAATAATAATAAAAAAGCTCTGTTTCTCTCTAATACATCTTTGAGTTCTTTCATTTATTACTTCTCCTTTGTTTACAATTTTATACAACATTGTGTATACTATTAGGGGTGTTTATCGGGCGGTTTGGTTGGATATTGACATCTAACGATTCAACTTATTTTAATTCATTAATTTAAGATATCAGTTGATTCGGTATGAAAATGATGATTATCGATCAATTAGCCACTTCCCGTTAAAAACTTGGAGAAAATAAAAGGTAAAAGTGCAAATGTAATAACCAGGGAGAACGTTTTGAACAACAGTTATAGAAATTCCAATTACTTGGAAATAAAATATATTGGTTACAACTTACATGCATTATAACTTTGATAAGATATCCCTTAAGTTGAGTAGTGACTTTGTTAACATAAAAATAAAAATAATCTCCTTCTTCTCATTATACTAAAGGAGCACATTATGAATTTATGAGACTCGTACTATAGAGTAATAATAAAATATTTTCACAAGTTAAAGTGCCCATATAAACATATACACCAACTTTTTATCTTTAACATTTTGATTGGATGCATGAATCATTATGATATTGACACACATATAATCATAATCATAACTTATTAAAATGATATGGTAAATCAATAATTTCAAATCATGTCCAAACAGCATGTTAGTATTATAAAGAAATGGAGAGAGTACTCAATAGTATAGCTTTTGTTTAGCTATAATTATTTGTTTCCATTTGCAATGTAAGCTGTCAACTTGTTGGGGGAACTTCAAGAGTAAATTCTTAAATGGTCAATCAAATTATAGTTGATCTATTTGATTTGATATTGGATCAAAATCATATGAAAAAACAACTCAATTAGCGGCCAATATTAGCTACTATAAACTTTAAGCTAGTGTTTGACCATAGATTTTCAAATATTTTTGATAAATATTATATGAGTGAAATTTCACTATGTGTTTGGCCATAATATTTGAGAAGTATATTTTACTTTTTTTAATAAATATGATTATACCCATAAGTTTTAAAAACTATCAAAATTAACCATATGTTTGTATTACATAGCAATATAGAAACGTCGACGTAACAAGATTCATGACTTCCGCAACAAGTCCATTGTATCTTCGTTGCAACAAATAATAAGTAGTGTTCGTGACATTGGAGCAATGTTGCAGTTTGGAGTGAGTGCAACAAACATCATTCCATACATTGTAAAGTAGACAAAGCACATGACTTTATTACCCTAAGTCGATTGTTCGTCATTTTCATGAACAACCATATCATCACTTTCGTATTCATTGAATATTTCATCACTGCTTTGGTGTTCACGTGAAAAACTATGTAATACAACGCAAATAAATACTATAGAGGGTGTTTTTATAAAAAATAAAAATTTGGTGTAGAATTTGAATTTTTAAAAGTTCCCAAATAATGAGATTTGGCCCAAATACTAGTTTTTTCTAGTATTTGAGAATTTGGGTTATTTGCCAAATTTTTTTACCAAATAATGGTAAATTATATGGAACAAACACTATTTGCCAAATCCCCCCCCCCCCCCCCCCCTCCCCCCAAATATTACTTGAAAAATCTATGGCCAAACGGGTCCTAAATAAATCCATTTTAGCCAGTTAAGTAGTTAGGACTTTGGGAGGAATTACATGGAATTTGATTTTAGATTACATAATTTTAGGGTTATGATAGAATATTCTATCTAATTTTTTTTTGAAGCTGTGAGGCACGTCTGACTCTGAAAACCTGTTTGACATTGTTGTTGAGAGGTCAATGATATTTATTTTGAAAATTAAGGCGCTTGGCAAATCAGTAAAAATGCTTTTAAATGGGAGTGTAGTTTTTCTGTTGTTGGGAAGAAACTAAAAATTCTTTAAAAGGGAAGCAGTAGCAAAAAAATATTTTTTTCAAGACCAAAATATCACTTCCATATACACATATTTACCGATATATCTCTTATTAATTAATTATCATATCTCATAAGTTTGATTTAAGATTTAGTTTAATTTTATATTAAAAAAAACTATTTTATTTTACGTTTATATATTATTATTCTATATTTTATATATTATTTTATGTATTATTTTGCATGATTAGAATAAAAGAAGGTAAATTGATTGAAAAAAATTGAATATATACCTATTAATTTAATTAAAATTCTAATAATAGATATTTAAACTAATTTTTCTCTATAAAGTAATCTTAATATCAAATTTTGCAATGATAATAAATAAAGTATCACTAGAGATGACAATGGAGCGGGACAGATTCAACCTTAACCCGCAAAGACTTTAATGTAGCCCACATTATAAAATTTTCTATTTTCAAATCGCCCCACTTAAAATTTTAAGCCCACTCCGCCGCCCCGGCCCATTGTGATCCCTGCCTATAATTGAGATTCCATATGTGAAATTATAGAGTTTGTCTTTATTACAAGTCCACGCCCCCTGCATCAAGTCAAGCTTTCTATTTCATTCCATGGCTGAAGCTTTACTTCAAGTTGTGCTAGAAAATCTCACTTCTTTCCTCAAAGGGGAACTTGTATTGCTTTTTGGTTTACAAAATGAGTTCCAAAAGCTCTCAAGCATCTTCTCTACAATCCAATCCGTCCTTGAAGATGCTCAGGAGAAGCAATTCAACGACAAGCCACTTGAAAATTGGTTGCAAAAACTCAATGTTGCTACATATGAAGTCGATGACATCTTGGATGAATATAAAACTAAAGCCACACTATTCTCCCAGTCTGCATATGGCCGTTATCATCCAAAGGCTATCCCTTTCCGTCACAAGGTCGGGAAAAGGATGGACCAAGTGATGAAAACACTGGATGCAATTGCTGAGGAAAGAAGGAATTTTCATCTGCAAGAAAAGATTATAGAGAGACAAGCTGCTAGACGGGAAACAGGTGCTCATCTTAAACAGCTTAGTTTATATTCATTTTTTTTTGGCAATTATCAAATTTGGAAATGAGTCAAATATATCACTTATACTTTTAAGCTAAATATATCTCTCCCATTGTACTTTGACACAAGTTTATCCTTAATTTTGACGAATGAACACTTGTCAAGCTCAAAATCAAATTATCCACCCCCAATTTTAAATACCCGATTTCTTACTTGTTAATTTCTTTCTTTAAAAGTACCAAATTCAGAAAAACAATATCAAGTAGGATAATGGAAAATTATAACAACCATAAAAGTACGAAAACGGAACAGAAACTTATTAAGATGGAAGAGAGTGACAATATCATCTTCTAATAAAGCTACCAATTTAAATCTGATACAGAGGAGCAGCAAAAATAATTGTGGGTGAATTATTTGACTATGTGCTTATCATGTGTCTTTAATTTCCATCAAGGTTAAGGACAAATTTGAGCCAAATGGCAGAGGTATATTTGGACCAAAAGTATAATTATGGGTATATTTAAAGTATTTCTGATAATACAGGAGTATATTGTACAAAAATATTCTCTATTTTCTGCTGCCTCCTAATGAGTTTGAATGTAACAATATTCTCATGTGGACATTGCTTGCACCAGGCTCTATATTAACTGAACCACAAGTTTATGGAAGGGGCAAAGAGGAAGATGAGATAGTGAAAATCCTGATAAACAATGTTAGTAATGCCCAACAACTTTCAGTCCTCCCAATACTTGGTATGGGGGGACTAGGAAAGACCACTCTTGCCCAAATGGTCTTCAATGATCAGAGAGTTACTGAGCATTTCCATCCCAAAATATGGGTTTGTGTCTCAGATAATTTTGATGAGAAGAGGTTGATGAAAACAATTATAGGAAATATTGAAAGAAGTTCTCTTGATATCGAGGACTTGGCTTCACTTCAGGAGAAGCTTCAAGAGTTGTTGAATGGAAAAACATACTTGCTTGTCTTAGATGATGTTTGGAATGAAGATCAACAGAAGTGGGATAATTTAAGAGCAGTCTTGAAGGTTGGAGCAAGTGGTGCTTCTGTTCTAACCACTACTCGTCTTGAAAAGGTTGGATCAATTATGGGAACTTTGCAACCATATGAATTGTCAAATATGTCTCAAGAAGATTGTTGGTTGTTGTTCATGCAACGTGCATTTGGACACCAAGAAGAAATAAATCCTAACCTTGTGACTATCGGAAAGGAGATTGTGAAAAAATGTGGTGGTGTGCCTCTTGCAGCCAAGACTCTTGGAGGTATTTTGCGCTTCAAGAGAGAGGAAAGAGAATGGGAACATGTGAGAGATAGCGAGATTTGGAATTTGCCTCAAGATGAAAGTTCTATTCTGCCTGCCCTGAGACTGAGTTATCATCATCTTCCACTTGATTTGAGACAATGCTTTGTGTATTGTGCGGTGTTTCCAAAGGACACAGAAATGGTAAAGGAAAATCTAATCGCTATCTGGATGGCACATGGTTTTCTTTTATCAAAAGGAAACTTGGAGCTAGAGAATGTGGGTAATGAAGTATGGAAAGAATTATACTTGAGGTCTTTCTTCCAAGAGATTGATGTTGAATCGGGTAAAACTTATTTCAAGATGCATGATCTCATCCATGATTTGGCTACATCTCTGTTTTCGGCGAACACATCAAGCAGCAATATCCGCGAAATAAATGTAAAAAGTTATACACATATGATGTCCATTGGTTTCGCTAAAGTGGTGTCTCCTTACTCTCATTCACTCAGCTTGGAACAGTTTGTCTCGTTAAGAGTGCTTAATCTAAGTTACTCAGAACTTGAGAAGTTACCATCTTCCATTGGAGATCTGGTGCATTTAAGATACCTAAACTTGTCTGGCAATCCAATTCATAGACTTCCAAAGCAGTTATGCAAGCTTCAAAATCTGCAGACTCTTGATCTACAATATTGCACCTTACTTTGTTGTTTGCCTAAAAAAACAAGTAAACTTGGTAGTCTCCAAAATCTTTTACTTGATAACTGCTATGATTTGATTTCTATGCCACCATGGATAGGATCTTTGACATGCCTTAGGACTCTAGATTGCTTTGTCATTGGCAAGAGAAAAAGTTGTCAACTTGGTGAACTACGAAATCTGAATCTCTATGGCTCAGTTGCAATCACACATCTTGAGAGAGTGAAGAAGGATACGGAGGCAAAAGAAGCCAACTTATCTGGAAAAATGAATCTGCATTCTTTAAGCATGAGTTGGGATGATGATGAACCACATAGAGATGAATCAGAAGAAGTTAAAGTGCTTGAAGCCCTCAAACCACATCCCAATCTGAAATCTTTAGAAATCATTGGCTTCAGAGGATTCCGTCTCCCAGAGTGGATGAATCACTCAGTTTTGAGAAATGTTGTCTCTATTACAATTAGAGGATGTGAAAACTGCTCTTTCTTACCACCCTTTGGTGAGCTGCCTTGTCTAGAAAGTCTAGTGTTACACAAGGGGTCTGCGGAGGTGGAGTATGTTGAAGAAGAGGTTATTGATGTTGATTCTGGATTCCCCACAAGAATAAGGTTTCCATCTCTGAGAAAACTTACTGTAGCCAAATTCCGTAATCTGAAAGGATTGCTGAAAAAAGAAGGAGAAGAGCAATTCCCTGTGCTTGAAGAGGTGGAGATTGAGCAGTGCCCTGTGTTTGTTATCCCTACCCTTTCTTCTGTCAAAAAATTGGAAATCGCGCGAGAGGCAGATGCAACAGGTTTCAGGTCCATATCTAATCTTAGGGATCTTACTTCCCTCTACATTAGCGATAACGAAGAAGCTACTTCACTCCCAGAAGAGATGTTCAAAAACCTTGCAAATCTCAAAGACTTGACTATCTCTGAGTTCAAAAATCTCAAAAAGCTGCCTACCAGCTTGGCTACTCTCAATGCTTTGAAGAGTCTGAAAATTGAATGTTGTGGTGCACTAGAGAGTCTCCCCGAGGAAGGGCTGGAAGGTTTAACTTCACTCACAGAGTTATCTCTCCAGTACTGTGAGATGTTAAAATATTTACCCGAGGGATTGCAGCACCTAACAGCCCTCACAAGTTTAACAGTTGAGGGATGTCCAGAAGTGGAAAAGAGGTGTGAGAAGGGAATAGGAGAAGACTGGCACAAAATTTCTCACATTCCTAATCTGCATATTCGTAACTATTAGTATTTATAATAGTTTCTTGGGTTTTTTGTTTGTGATTCTCCCACACAGACCATTCCTGTTTGTATTAAGTATTACTTATGATGTGAAACCCATTTCTCTGTACTTGCTGCTGTTATATTAATATGCACTACATCTAATGTTTCCCCTGGTTTCTGTTACATTCTAACTTGATCAAAAGTGTCCTGCACCGTGTACTTTGAAAAGACTATTTCTTGAAAAGCCCTTATGAAGCAGGTATTTCTAGTGAGCTCAGAAGACATGGTCCATTAAGGACTTTTGTTGGTCCGCTAGGACTTGCAGAGCGCATTTGATGTCATGTAGGTTCACCTCCTCTCGAGTATTTACACGATCCAAAGCCCATGTTCATCGAGTCGGGTTCAATTCTGTTAACATATCGATCATGCTCGGGTTGTTGTCAGTTATAGGTGATTCCCGTGAAACAATAATATTCAAGCTAGCTAGTAAGGAAGAAGAGTTCAGTGAGTTAAACCTAAACCAACACACAATTGAAAGGTTAGGTACAAACACATGATATGCGTATATTAGTTTCATCAGCTTTTTAATAGATTAATAAATTGATATTAAAAAATTTGGTCATGACACAAAACAATTAAAGCAATAAGGGAGGATTCCCTCACCGAAAATAGTTTATTTTTGAGTATATGTTTTAATCAAATATGAAATTTGTAATTTTTTTTAGAGTATATGTTTTAATTAAACGTGAAATTTGTTACTTTTGAATTGTAAAAGTAAATTAACAAATCAACAACGAGGATCTATCCGATACAAAAAACAAAGGAAGGGTAAGACTAATTTATTTTCTGATAGTTTGAAAATAATATTAGCCTTTTTCCCCCAGTAAAATCTCATGTTTGATATGAATTAGGATATTGATAGCAAGACGGATTAATGATTAAAAATTTATTCGTAATCTTATCTCATGTTTGACTTTTTATATTCCCTCATTTCCTATTGTAACGTGTGATGGTCAATTTTTGAGTAACTTTTAAATTAAATTAATATTTTTAAATGATTAAAAATTTATTCGTAATCTTATCTCATGTTTGACTTTTTATATTCCCTCATTTCCTATTGTAACGTGTGATGGTCAATTTTTGAGTAACTTTTAAATTAAATTAATATTTTTAAAAAAATTATATATTTAAAAATTATACGAAAATAATTATATATAAATTATAGAAGAATCCATATCCATATAATAATTAATAAAAAATACATGTTAAAATATAGTCAAAGTTCATATTATTCAACAATTGAAAAGTAAACTATACAAAGGAATGGAGGAGTAACATTCTTATCACTATTAGTTTCTTTATCTTCTTTACCACCATAATTTATGAGTTAATCATAATAAATTTTGTTTCTGATCTCTGATACAGAGAGTGAGTTATCCAGCCCGAATAATAATTGGAGTTTGGTTTCGGAGAATGAGTCGTTTTTAGCTAGTGGAGAATCTGATTTTGAGATTGTATGGCCAAATGATGAATGGGATGCTATAGTGACTTTGTTAACATAAAAATAATCCCCTTCTTCTCATTATATTACAAGAGCACATTATGAGACTCGTACTATAGAGCAATAATAAAATATTTTCATAAGTTAAAGTGCCCATATAAACATATATCACACCAACTTTTTATCTTTAACATTTTGATTCGATGCATGAATCATTATGATATTGACACATATATAATCATAATCATAACTTATTGAAACGATATGGTAAATCAATCATTTCAAATCATGTCCAAACAACGTAGTAGTATTATAAAGAAATGGAGAGAGTACTCAATAGTATAGCTTTTGTTTAGCTATAATCATTTGTTTCCATTTGCAATTTAAGCTGTGGGGAACTTCAAGAGTAAATTCTTAAATGGTCAATCAAATTATAGTTGATCTATTTGATTTGATATTGGATCAAAATCATATGAAAAAACAACTCAATTAGCGGCCAATATTAGCTACTATAAACTTTAAATAAATCCATTTTAGCCAGTTAAGTAATTAGGACTTTGGGAGGAATTACATGGAACTTGATGTTAGATTACATAATTTTAGGGTTATGATAGAATATTCCATCTAAAAAAGATTTAACTATGTAAGGCACGTCTGACTCTGAGAACCTGTTTGACATTGTTGTTGGGAGGTAAAAGATATTTATTTGAAAATTAAGGCGTTTGGCAAATCAGTAAAAATACTTTTAAATGGGAGCGCAGTTTTTTTGCCGTTGGGAAGAAGCTAAAAATTCTTTAAAAGGGAAGTAGTAGCAGAAAATTACTTTTCAAGACCAAAATATCACTTCCATATACACATATTTACCGATATATCTCTTATTAATTAATTATCATAACTCATAAGTTTGGTTAAATTTGATTTAAGATTTATTTTAATTTTATATTACAAAAACTATTTTATTTCACATTTATATATTATTATTCTATATTTTATATATTATTTTATGTATTATTTTGCATGATTAGAATAAAAGAAGGAAAATTGATTGAAAAAAATTAAATATATATACCTATTAATTTAATTAAAATTCTTATAATAGATATTTAAACTAGTTTGCCTCTATAAAGTAATCTTAATATCAAATTTTGCAATGACAATAAATAAAGTATGACTAGAGATGACAATGGAGCGGGACAGATTCAACCTTAACCCACAAAGACTAAACCTACCCTACATAATAAAATTTTCTATTTTCAAATCGCCCCACCCTAAAATCTTAAGCCCACTCTGCCCTTACCCGTTGTCATCCCTGCCTATAATTGAGATTCCATAAGGATCTGTTTGGAAAGCCACCTGGTAATTGGAATTGGTGTAATTACCAGCCTAGTAATTACACTGTCTAGTAATTACATTGACCTATTTGGTTGTCACAGTGTAATTACACTGTAATTACACATGTCCTGTTTGGATGCCACAGTGTAATTACACATGTTTTGTTTGGATGCACAATTGCAATCATAAATTTTTAAAATAAAAATTAATTATTTAAAATTTATACTAGACAAATAAGAAACTTTATAAATGACATTAAATTAAATATTTAAGATATGTATTCTTTTTTGAAAATATATTAATTAATAAATATATTTTCTGTAACTAATATTATGAAAAAATAATTGATTTATATTTTTTCAAATTAATATATTTCAATTGAATCGATCGTAACAACTAAAAGTATGAAGTTTCTACGAACATCGTGAAATGCATGTTTGATAAAAAGAATAATATATAAATAAAATGTCATAAATTATTAAATGTTTGACAAAAATATAATTTATCAACTCTAATTAAAAAATGACGTGCAATGTAGATTCAATATTACTAAAACAAATGAAACTGAAAATATAACATAAGTTATAAATTCAAAACAAAAATTTTAACATAATACTCTTATAACAAATTTCAACATAGCAATAAATATGATTTGTTTTAGTTTTTCTTAATAAAGAAAACGTAAGTCTATAACTTACTTAACAATAAATTGTATTTTAATTTAAAATTAGAATATAATAAAATTATGCTAATGAGAAAATAAGCATGGCATAAAGAAATAGATAATACGAAAAAATTACATAGAATCACGTAAAGTAAGGTTGAGAATAAGAAGAAAATGAAATATAATAATATAAAATAAAAAATAAACTTTTACAAATTTTTAGAATAATAAAATTAAAAAAAAAACTTAAAATAATAGAAGTAAAAAAAATTAAAACAAAAAAATTAAAATATAAATAAAAAAAAGAAATTAAAAAATAATCAGGTGGTAATTACACCATGTAATTACCAACAATTCACAGCCTGCCTCTAAATTGTAGAGTGTAATTACCCCTGCCAATTACACCAATTATCTGCAGACCAAGTAATTACCTGTCCTTCCAAACAGGACAAAGACAATGTAATTACACCAAATCCAATTACCAGGGTGTCCTTCCAAACAGGCCCTAAGTGAAATTATTGAGTTTGTATTTATTACAAGTCGACACCCCCTACATCAAGTCAAGCTTTCTATTTCATTCCAATAGCCACCACATATCTAATATTCTTAATATTGAATTCCCACTCTAGCTAGACTCCCTCAATATGGCTGAAACTTTCCTTCAAGTTGTGCTAGACAATCTCACTTCTTTCCTCAAAGGGGAACTTGTATTGCTTTTTGGTTTTCAAAATGAGTTCCAAAAGCTTTCAAGCATCTTTTCTACAATCCAATCCGTCCTTGAAGATGCTCAGGAGAAGCAATTCAACGACAAGCCACTTGAAAATTGGTTGCAAAAACTCAACGCTGCTACATATGAAGTCGATGACATCTTGGATGAATATAAAACTAAGGCCACACGATTCTCCCAGTCTGCATATGGCCGTTATCATCCAAAGGTTATCCCTTTCCGTCACAAGGTTGGGAAAAGGATGGACCAAGTGATGCAAAGACTAAATGCAATTGCTGAGGAAAGAAAGAATTTTCATTTGCACGAAAATATTATAGCGAGACAATCTGTTAGACGGGAAACAGGTAATCATCTTAAATTAGTATTACAACCTAACAGCTTAGTTTACATTCATATTTTTGGCAATTATCAAATTTGGAGAAGGGTCAAATATACTCATGTACTATCGTAAATAGTTTAAATATACCTCTCGTATTATACTTTGGCACAAATTTGTCAAACCTAACAGCTGAATGTAAATTTTGCCTAACAAAGAAAAAAAATGATTAGGCATGTTTCTCCTTGTTAGTGATTACGCTGGATTTCTTTCAGAGTGAAATATAGGGGATAAAGTTGGAGCATGGTAATCGATCGTTCATTTCTTTCCTTAAAGTAAAAAGTTCAGCAAAATAATATCAAGGTACCATAATGGAAAATGATCAGATATGATAAAACTACAAATAGAATAGAAACTTATATTAAGCTGGAAGAGAGTGAGTGACAATATCATCCTCTAATAACACTACCAAATTCCAAATTCAAATCATGATATGGAGGAGCAACCAAAAAGCATTGGGGGTGAATTATTTGATTATGTGCTTGTCACGTCTTTCCGTCAAGATTAAGGGAAAATTTGTGCCAAAGAATAAAGAGGTGGGGTATATTTGGACTGGGAGAGATATATTTGGACCAAAAGTATAACAATAGGTATATTTAAAGTATTTCCAATAGTATATTGTGCAAATATATTCTCTATTTTCTGCTGACTCCTAATGAGAATGAATGTAACAATATTCTCATGTTGATATTGCTTGCACCAGGTTCTGTATTAATTGAACCACAAGTTTATGGAAGGGACAAAGAGGAAAATGAGATAGTGAAAATCCTCATAAACAATGTTCGTGATTCCCAAAAAATTTCAGTCCTCCCAATACTTGGTATGGGAGGACTAGGAAAGACGACTCTTGCCCAAATGGTCTTCAATGATCAGAGAGTAACTGAGCATTTCTATCCCAAAATATGGATTTGTGTCTCGGATGATTTTGATGAGAAGAGGTTGATAAAGGCAATTGTAGAATCTATTGAAGGAAAGTCACACAGTGACATGGACTTGGATCCACTTCAAAAGAAGCTTCAGGAGCTGCTGAATGGAAAACGATACTTGCTTGTCTTAGATGATGTTTGGAATGATGATCAACAGAAGTGGGATAATTTAAGAGCAGTCTTGAAGGTTGGAGCAAGTGGCGCTTCTGTTCTAATCACTACTCGTCTCGAAAAGGTTGGATCAATTATGGGAACATTGCAACCATATGAATTGTCACATCTGTCTCAAGAAGATTGTTCATTGTTGTTCATGCAACGTGCATTTGGACACCAAGAAGAAATAAATCCCAACTTCGTGTCTATGGGAAAGGAGATTGTGAAAAAATGTGGTGGTGTGCCTCTAGCAGCCAAGACTCTTGGAGGTCTTTTGCGCTTCGAGAGAAAAGAAAGAGAATGGGAACATGTAAGGGATAGTGAGATTTGGAATTTGCCTCAACATGAAAGTACTATTTTGCCTGTCCTCAGGCTGAGTTATCATCACCTTCCACTTGATTTGAGACAATGCTTTGCATATTGTGCAGTATTCCCAAAGGACACCAAAATGGAAAAAGAAAAGCTAATCTCTCTCTGGATGGCACACGGTTTTCTTTTATCAAAAGGAAAGGAGTTAGAGGATGATGGTAATGAAGTATGGAACAAATTATGCTTGAGGTCTGTCTTCCAAGAGATTGAAGTTAAATCTGGTAAAACTTATTTCAAGATGCATGATCTCACCCATGATTTGGCTACATCTCTGTTTTCTGCAAGCACATCAAGCAGCAATATCCGAGAAATAAATGTAGAAAGTTACTCACATATGATGTCCATTGGTTTCGCTGAATTGGTGTCTTCTTACTCTCCTTCTCTCTTGCAAAAGTTTGTCTCGTTGAGGGTGCTTAATCTGAGTGACTTGGGACTCAAGCAGTTACCGTCTTCCATTGGAGATCTAGTACATTTAAGATACTTGAACCTGTCTGGCAATTGGAATATGCGTAGTCTTCCAAAGGAGCTATGCAAGCTTCAAAATCTGCAGACTCTTGATCTATATAATTTCCAGTCACTTTGTTGTTTGCCAAAACAAACAAGTCAACTTGGTAGTCTCCGAAATCTTTTACTTGAGAATTGCTATAGATTGACTTTTATGCCACCAAGGTTTGGATCTTTGACATGCCTGAAGACTCTAGATTTCTTTGCTGTGGGTGAGAAGGAAGGTTCTCAACTAAGTGAACTAGGAAACCTGAATCTCTATGGCTCAATTTCAATCAAACATCTTGAGAGAGTGAAGAATGATAAGGATGCAAACGAAGCCAATTTATCTGCAAAAGGGAATCTGCACTCTTTAAGCTTGATTTGGAAACAACCGCATAGATATGAATCAGAAGAAGTTAAAGTGCTTGAAGCCCTCAAACCACACCCCAATCTAACTTCTTTAACAATCATAGGCTTTAGAGGATTCCGTTTCCCAGACTGGATAAATCAATCAGTTTTGATAAATGTTGTCTCGATTGTAATTTGAAGGTTGCGAAAACTGCTCATGCTTACCACCCTTTGGTGAGCTGCCTTGTCTAGAAAGTCTAGAGTTATGGAAGGGGTCTGCGGAGTATGTTGAAGAGGCAGATGTTCATTCAGGATTCCCCACAAGAAAATGGTTTCCATCCCTGAGAAAACTTAGTATAGGCAAATTTTGTAATCTGAAAGGATTGCTGAAAAATGAAGGAGAAGAGCATTTCCCTGTGCTTGAAGAGATGACGATTTCAGATTGCCCTATGTTTGTTTATACGACCCTTTCTTTAGTTGTGGGCGAGGAAAGGTTTTCAACTTGTTGAACTACGAAACCCGAATCTCTATGGCAAAATTAAAATTACACATCTTGAGAGAGTGAAGAAGGATACGGAGGCAAAAGAAGCCAACTTATCTGGAAAAATGAATCTGCATTCTTTAAGCATGAGTTGGGATGATGATGAACCACATAGAGATGAATCAGAAGAAGTTAAAGTGCTTGAAGCCCTCAAACCACACCCCAATCTGAAATCTTTAGAAATCATTGGCTTCAGAGGATTCCGTCTCCCAGAGTGGATGAATCACTCAGTTTTGAGAAATGTTGTCTCTATTACAATTAGAGGATGTGAAAACTGCTCTTTCTTACCACCCTTTGGTGAGCTGCCTTGTCTAGAAAGTCTAGTGTTACACAAGGGGTCTGCGGAGGTGGAGTATGTTGAAGAAGAGGATATTGATGTTGATTCTGGATTCCCCACAAGAATAAGGTTTCCATCTCTGAGAGAACTTTGTTTATTCAATTTTCGTAATCTGAAAGGATTGCTGAAAAAGGAAGGAGAAGAGCAATTTCATGTGCTTGAAGAGATATCGATTTACTGGTGCCCTGTGTTTGTTTTTCCAACCCTTTCTTCTGTCAAAGGATTGAAAGTTAATGGGGACGAGGTAGATGCAGCAAGTTTCATGTCCATATCTAATCTTAGCACACTTACTTCCCTCTGCATTAGCAGTAACAAATCTACTTCGCTCCCAGAAGAGATGTTCAAAAGCCTTGCAGATCTCAAGTACTTGACTATCTCTTTCTTTATGAATCTGAAAGAGCTGCCTACCAGCCTTGGTTGTCTCAGTGCTTTGAAGTGTCTGCAAATTCAATGTTGTGACGCACTAGAGAAATTCCCCGAGGAAGGGATGAAAGGATTAACTTCACTAACAGAGTTATCTGTTTATTGCTGTAAGACACTAAAATGTTTACCCGAGGGATTGCAGAACCTAAAAGCCCTGACAAGATTGAAAATTAGTGACTGTCCAGAAGTGGAAAAGCGGTGTGAGAAGGGTATAGGAGAAGACTGGCACAAAATTGCTCGCATTCCGTATCTGTATATTAGTTAGTCTTATATGTAATCGTAAGTGTTACTATTTTAATTGTTTCTTGGGTTCTTTGTTTGCGAGTCTCCCACACATGTTTTTTTTTTTTTTTGGTTTCTCATCCGATGTCCTGTACCCACATTGGAGTCCGACTAAATTCGGATTCGCACCAGGAAGTCCCACAGCGCTGCCTAACAAAGGTGACCTCCCTACCCAAGGGGCTCCCACACATGTTACATTCCTGCCATTGGATGTAATATTGTGATTTTTGGTCCAAATAGTAAGAAAGACAATTTTTCTGTTATATCACTTTGATCACCTTCAAAAGTGGGAATTCCATTTCTAACTTGATCAAAACTGTCGTGCACCATGTAGCTCGCATTACACTCGATGTTTATATTAAATAAAGTTTATGATGGATAAACAATTTAATGAAATGAGAATAAATATTAATTAATAATCACTAATATTGAAAGTTATGTACAAATACATGACGTGCATCTATTAATTTGGTAGAAAGACATATGCATATAAGTTAATTTTTATCCACTTTTTAGTAGATCAATAAAATTGAGTATTAAAAGTTCTGGTCATGAGAAAACAATTACACCTTGTTTGGATGGTTGTTACCCGTTGTATTGTATTGTATACCATGTTTGTTTGATTGTTACTTAAATTCTATTGTATCGTGTCGTTTAAATTCATCGTTAGGTAACGACAAAAAGACCCTTTTATGTAACGATCGGTTTGGTGTGATCGCGCCATTACATTAATATTTTCTTCTTATTTTGTCTTTATTTATTATTTAATAATTATATTTCATCGTTTACTCTACCTTTTCATAGTAACTCTACCCAGTAGTCTACTTTTTTTGTAGGTTTATTCTTCAAATTACGAATGTGTGATATTATGTAACGACGGAGAACGATACAATCTATCCAAATGTTGTATTTCTTAAAACAATACAGTACTATATACTATAACAATGTACAATACGATATGATACAATTATGAAACAATGCATAATAACTATCCAAACAAAGTGTTAAAGCAATAAGGAGGATTTCCCCCTCTTCATATGCATTTCCAACTCAACGAAACAAAAGATTATTTTGAAGTATATGGTTTAATTAGATATGAAAATGTTAGTTTTGGGAGGTAAAAATAAGTTAATGAACCAACAATAAGGATCTATCTGATAAAAAAAAAAGGGAGGGTAAAACTAATTTATTTTCCTAGTTTATAAGAATAATTAGTGAAATTGTCCACGCTACGAGCGGTCTTTTTAAATTTAATTGATGAAAAATTACAATTAGAATATAAAATTTAAGATATACTTATGCAAAATATAAAAATGAACTGATCAAACGTATAAAAAATGCATATAAAAGAAAGAATAAAAATGTCACAAAGTTATCGCGAAAAAATCATCTCATACGAAAAAAAAGCTATACCTTCATATCAGAGGAAAAATGAATATGTAACATTAGTCTCGTAGACTGTCCTTGCTACATATATTTTGTCCACAAATATTTTAATTATTAAAAATAATAACCATTATTTAGTTAATATATTTAGAGGTAATTTGTATTATTCATAAAAGAGGCAAATTTAGTCTCAAAAGAATTAGAGAATTTTAGTCGAGAAAAAGCAATCTTAAAATTAAAAGTAGCAATTGGAGGAAGGCTAGCAACGGATGAAAAGAATTAATTGTCATTTTTAAATAAAATCATAAAAAGCTAATATATTCATAGAAATATATACATTAAAAAAATGGAAGTCCAAAAATTGATATAACAACTGGTAAAGTTATGTTAATGGAAAAAAGTTGTAGATTTAGTGATCACAATAATAGCTTGTGGTTGTAGTTATTTTTATAAAATCATTTGATACTTCAAACTATCACGCATAAGCTAACTTGTATTGTGAAAGGCCCTTTAAAGAAGGAAATTGAATCCATATATCCTGCTCCCATCATATTCCATAAAGAATCATTTGGTTTGTGGACAAAGTTATTTTAAAATTATAGTCCAACCTAAATTTATACTTAAGTAAATTATACATTTAGTTTCAACCTTTGATCCTAGATATTCTACCTTATTTTTATACCAAACGAATAATTTATAACAATTGTCAAATAAAAAAGGATTGTAAGTTCCAAATTCTCCAATTTTGCACTGATAAAAAAGTCTAGTCAAGCACAAAATTTTACACATTAAAACTAATTTACACATACATGGAAACATATTAAATCTGAAAAAGGAGGGCAAAAACAAATCATAGCTAACAAAAACATTAATTACAAATTAAAGTTAAAACGATAAAATATGAAATGTATATAAATTTCTTCACCACACCAACTTCAAATTCTTTTATATCTAATGAATAGTAATAAAGAAGGCTCTTTGATTTATTAATTACAAAGTTAAAGATAAAAAATGAAATGTAAATAAAAACCGCATATGTAAAGGAAGACTATATGTGGACTTTAGTTCAACATTTATTTTTGAGGCTTTTTTTAAGACCATTTAATTAGGAGATTATGCATTGAAAAATAAAAAAGAAAAGGACATGTTATTCAAATAGAAAATCTCAAATAATTGGAGAGTTTTTATAACTCATGAGATATAATTAAATGTAATTTATGCGGTAGAATTAATTTTAATTATTTAACAAATTGTATGATGAAAAAATAAGAAAAAATCTCAAAAAAAAAAGAGATTTAAGATAAATTATTTTATATGCCACATAGATGTTACATCATGACCTTATTTGTGCTTCATACAAGATACAATTTTTCACAAACAAACAATATATATATATATATTGTACCAAGAAAGAAAATCTTACAATATTAATAAATAAAAGATAGAACTAATATGTTATTAAGCATAAGAACTACAACTATAAATTCTTGTTTTAGGTTCGAACATAAGAATAAATGCTAAACATTTAAGCATATAATATATCAATGATAAAAATCTGCGTATACTATTCTACTTTAAAAACTGTTATGAAATTACTTAAATTAAAAAAAAAAAAAATTTATCTCAAATCTTAAATCGTTTTCTTCCTTGTACATGCACGGCTATTTTGGTTCAAATTTGCTAATGTGAATTCTCTATGGTAATTGAAATTAAAAAAACAAAAAAGAATTTAAAATAAGAAGAGCTTTTATGCGAAATAGCTTTATCAAACTATCAACCATTTTTCACGTCACCTTTTGACTCTCCTTCTATCAATTCATTATGAGAAAATAGATAAAATAGGTTTCTTGGTCTTGGAGAGCGCCTCATCAACATGTCTAATATCAATTCATTATGACCTTAATTTTCAGAGATCCAAGAAAAATGAAATACTCTGAAAAATCATCTCTGAGAAAATATTGTTGTCTGATCCACTCTACTAACCTCTTATTTAGACGAAATATTCTTCATTTTCAGAGATCCAAGAAAAACTATTGGAGGTCGGATTGCATATGAACTTTTTAGTTTTTTTTTAGCAATTTGTAGAATATTGCTATGAATTTCAATTTTGAAAATTTAGTATCCAAAATGTATACAAACAATTAAATACTACTCTTAAAAAACCCGGATAATTTAGTATTACAATTAAATACAATAATCATTATTAGTCGAAGATGAAAGGGTAGACGGTTATCAAATTAATCAGCTAAATGTTTGGGTTTGAGAGAAGGCCAATTGACGTGTCATAATTGGCTGTTGCAATGAAAAAGGCAAGGGTTGTTAATTGGGAGAGGAAAATTAATGTAGTTACTGTTATCATTAGATATTTAATAAGATGGAGAAAATAATTAACTGATAGGCATAATATATAAAAAATATTCAAAATAAAATAAAATAGATAAATAGGTTTCTTGGCCTCAAATAGCGCCACGTCAACATGTCTAATGTTTGATATGAATTAGGATATTGATTAGCAAGACGGATTAATGATTAAAAAATTATTCATATTCTTTATATCACGTGTTTGACTTTTTATATTCCCACTATTCTTTTTTAGTTGTCACATCTAATAGTTAATTTTTGACTATTAAATTATATTAATATAATATTTTTAAAAAATAAATATTTAAAAATTATAAAAAATATTATAAATTATTTTTTAAAATCCATATCAATATAATAACTAATAAAAAATACCTCTTAAAATATAGTCAAATTTCATATAATTTAACTCTTGAAACTTAAACTATACAAAGGAATGGAGGAGTAACATTCTTATCATTAATTCACTACCATAATTTATGAGTTAGAGGTGATTCCCGTGAAAAAGGAATGGAGGAGTAACATTCTTATCACTAATTTACTACAATAAATTATGAGTTAGAGGTGATTTCCGTGAAACAATAAATATACGAAAAGTATTATAAATTTCAATATTTTACATATTAATATGATGAAAAATGCATTATAAAATGTTAATCAAAATTATTATCAGTTGATTTTAAGAAAAAAAAAACTATTATAATTAAAAGTGGACGGAAATAATATTAGATCTTCTTAACTACCATAATTTATGAGTTACATCATAATAGATTTTGTTTCCATTAACACAACTTAATTTTCCGAACCATTTGACTTTCACCATAAAATATTTCTCCTAATTCCTCCTCCAAACTCCGGCGACAGCGAAGACTCCTCCGCCCTTCGGCCGATCTTCCAGCCTGCAAATGGAGGGCACAGTGAAATGCTCAGCGAACTACGTGCCATTGAGTCCAATTAGCTTCTTAGAAAGATCAGCAAAGGTTTATAGTGATAGGCTCTCTATTGTTCACGGAAATGTCAAATATTCTTGGAGAGAAACTCGTCAAAGGTGTATCCGACTTGCTTCTGCTCTTACCCATCTGGGCATTTCTCGTGGCGATGTCGTATGTCTTTCTCGATCTCCTGTTTCTTAGTTGTTAGTATTACTGTTTTATTAAATTTTGAATATTTCAATTGTTATATATTTAGCTTCAAAGATTACTTAATTGTGTAAATTATAAATTGGGATGGAGGGAGTAGTTTTTCTTCATATATGGTCTTTGTTAGTGGTATGGTGTGAGTTCTCTTTACTACAGAAAGAAGTGAGTGTTGGTGACTTTGAAAAGTGAAATACCCATATAGATTATTTTTTGGATGCATTAGAAGGTCACGCGAAACAACCTCTTGTAGAAATGCAGTGCTAGGCTATGTACAATAGACCCTTGACCTCGCACATAATGGATCTATTAAGATTAGCTAATTATAATATCAGTTAGTTAACAGATTCAATTAGATAGTTAGTCCAGCCAGTCAGATCAGTTAGCTAGCTTCTAAGTTGCTCGGACTCGGGTGCAGATCTAGAAGTCGGATCCTTCATAATCTAATTTTCATGATTCGGGGATATAGATCCATGTATGGATACAGGTGCCAGGATTCGCCTAAAAATAATTAAAATATCTAAAAATAGAGTTATAAAACCTAAATTATGAGATATTATGTGGAGATTCCTAAATGAGATTAAAGGAAAATGAGTGATAGAAATTTCTATATAAAAGGTATTCCATTTTCTTCAATTTCACCTTAGCTTTGTATTGATTACAGAAAGCATTAAAACTGTCCAAATTTTCCCCATTGATTTTGGTCAAAGTACCAAAAATTGGTTGACCAAGTCGGACACAGATCCCACACCCATACCCATGTCGTGTCGACATGGGTGCGGCACCAAAAGTGAAGAGTCCGAACAACTTAGGTTAGCTTAGCCTGAATTCTATTAATATGCCAGCTGTATAGATTAGTTAGATATTTTTGTCATTAAAAAAATAGATTAGTTAGATATTTTGTCTTTCCTTTGTATAAATACATATGAGCTCATGAACGGAAATCAATTAAGAGATTTTCCCCAAATTCCTTTCTTCTTCTCTGATCTCTTCCTCGTGATCCATGGATGATGATTAACTCTCTTGTGCAGTACTCTTGACATGGTATCAGAGCCAGAGGTGTCAATCGTATTGCTTTTATGCATCTTCTTCTATTCACAACTCCTCTGTTCTTCATCCCGATTCCAGAAATTTTTGACAATTCGACTTCTGTATTGAATTTCTGCTCCTTTTGTTCCTTTATTGTTGAGTTCATCGAATCATATTTTGTATGTTTTTGATTGCTGCTGAATTGCATTTTACAATGGTGATTGAAACTGGTTCCCAATCGAATGTCACTCCTGAGAGTAACAAATGGTGTTGATGGTGAGGACACTAGTTCTCCTTGTATATGCATCCTTTATCTGGTGCATCACTGGTCCCAATTACTTTTGATGGAGTAGGTTATAGATCGTGGAAGAGAGGTGTTCTTACAGTCATCTCAGTTAAGAACAAATTAGGCTTCATAAATGGGGAATGCAAGAGGCCCGATCCAGGGACTTCACGTTTTCGTCAAATGGGAGAGGTGTGATGATATGGTCACCTCATGGATCCTCAATTCACTTGCTAGGGAAATTGCAGATAGTGTGGAATTGTGAATGACTCATTTGAATTGTGGAAAGAGTTGGAAGATCGATATGACCAGACAAACGGAGCAAAACTTTATCAAGTTCAACGAGAGATCAATGAACTGGCACAAGGAACATTAAACATTACAACTTACTACACTAGAATGAAGAGACTATGTGAGGAATTGAGTACATTGCATGTTAAAACTCCATATAGTTGCAATTGTGCCTGTGGAGCTAAGGAAGTGTGTTCAAAGCTGTGTAGGATAGGAGACTAGTTCAATTTCTTATGGGATTAAACGAAGTCTACATTGTAGTTCGAGGAAACATCCTCATGATGAATCCATTGCCATCCCTAGCACAAACTTTCTCATTGCTAGTGCAGGACGAAAAGCAGAGAGAAATTAAGCCTAGTGGTCAACTGTTCATAGAGTGCATCTCTTAATGCAAGCAGTTCAGGGAATAGAGTCGGCCTTTTTTAGTGTGAATAGTTCAGTACTTGCAAGCACTTCTCGGCCTCCACAACAAAATTACTCTCAGCAGGCAATAACAACTTTAGAACTAACTACTTTCAACTTAACACCTACACTGGGAACAAGACTCATATGGTGTGTGACTATTGTAAGAAACCAGGACATACCAAGGACAAGTGGTACAAATTACATAGATATCCACAAGGAACCACTCATCAAAACTCAAATGCAAATGCCACTAATCAAAATGGATACATGAGTAACAATCAAAATTTCAGGTTTAAATTTTAATAAAGGTAAAGGCTTTATGGTTGATGTACATGGTTTTTCATCCGATGTAATGTCAACATGAGGTGAAGATCATAGGGGAACATATGTTGAACCAGGTCCCCAACTAACAAGAGAACAATATGAGCAATTTGTGGAATTGCTGCAACAATTTCAAGCTGGGAAGCATGGGACAATGCTAAGGAGTTTGTGAATGGTAGTGTGAACCTTGCAGGTTTGATAGCTTGTACTTCCTCTGTTGATTTTGGTAAGTTATTTTGCAGGCGTTTCAACAACAAGACTGACTCTTGGATCCTAGACTCAGGAACCTCTAACCATATGACCTTTGACATAAAATCACTAACCAATATTGCCTATCTCCCTTGCCCTCTATTGATCACCTTGCCAAATGGTTATAAAGTAAAAGTCAGTCAAACTGATAGTGTAAGACTTGCATCAGACTTTGTTTTGCATAAAGTATTGTATGTGCCTTGTTTTAAGTATAACCTTGTCTCTATTCAATGCCTTTCCAAATCTATACCTGAGAGTGTTTTCTTTCACTAAATCCTCATGCATTCTGCAGGCCCTTCAATGAAGAGGCCTCTGGAGATTGGTGAAGCTAAGGATAGACTCTATTTTCTATGTACCAAGTGTCTGAAGAACAACAATCATTCTGAGACCAAGTGTGCTACTTCAACTACTTCCATTCCTAGTTACATTTCAAGTCCGACTGTCTCTACTTCTAAATCTGTTTCTTTTCATGTTTCTCTTGTAGTCACCAACTTTCCAGTGTAGATAACATCTTTACCATGAATAACTGTGCACCATCTATTGTACAGAATTGTATTTCATGCAATAAAAACCCTCATGTAACTGCTTCTTCAATGACTCATACTTGGGATGATGAGAATGTGTTATGGCATAACAGACTTGGACATATGCCTTTTGTGAAAATGAGGGAAATTTCCACCAAACAATCCTTCATCTGTAGTATTTTTCCAATGGCAAGGCAAGAAAGACTACCATTTCCCCATAGAACTAACACCTCTACCAAAATATTTCAGCTATTACACTAACCTTTGGGGCCCCTACCACATGATCACACATGATAACTATAGATATTTCATCACCCTTGTTGATGACTATAGTAGGTGTACATGGACTCAGTTACTGACCTGTAAGAGTAGCACCTTGGCTGTTATCAAAACCTTCATATCCATGATTGAAAACCAGTTTAATACAGTGTCCGGACAATCAGAACTGGACTTGAATTTGTAAACACAGAAATTTCATTCTTTTTTTAATCAAAGGAAATTATCCATGAAAAAAACCTGCCCCTACACACCACAACAAAATGGTGTAGTGGAAAGAAACACAAGTATCTACTAGAGTCTGCTAGGGCACTCCTTTTTCAATCCAAATTACCACTGAAGTACTGGGGAGAGTGTATTGTGTGCTACATACATCATCAATAGACTCCCTACCTCCCACATCAAGGGAAAGTGTCCATATGAATTGTTATACAAATCCAAACCATCCTACTCTCACATGAGAACCTTTGGTTGCCTTTGTTACCCCACTTTTCCAAAGTCTCAAAGAGACAAATTCCAAGCTAGGACCACACCCCACATCTTCATAGGATATCCCTTTGGATCAAAAGGTTACAAAGTCCTTAGTCTGGCCACAAAGAAAATACACCTCTAGAGATGTAATCTTCAAAGAAACTGTCTTTCATTTTGCTGTAGTTTCTGATGTCTCCTCTTTTCCTTCTGTTCTACATTCTATACCTTTCATGGACACTGTTAATACTGTAATTGGACCACAAATTATACAAAGTATTGAAAACAATGTAGTTGATGCAAGTGACACTCCAGTTCACACCCCACCTGATCATCTAGTTGATTCCCATACTGGCACTCAGCCTCCTAATGATATTCTCAGAGTTGAGCCTACAACTCCATGCGATCACACAAACTGCCCACATACTTACATGATTACATCCTACCTAAAACTTTAACCAATACACCTAGTCAATTGCATAATACAAATATTTGCCTCAATACTGCCTTCTCCAAACACCAGCACATACCACCCGAAGTGCTGGAGCATGAGAGTCAGACACTTGTGAGAAATATCAGTCGTGATGATGAACCCTCTTCATATGGGGAAGCTGCTATGAACCCTGTCTGCTAGTCATGACATAGGAGTTTGAGGCATTGCATGCAAACCATACTTGGGATCTAGTGGATTTGCCTAGTGACAAGAAAGCCATAGGGTGTAGGTGGGTGTACAAGGTGAAACATAAGGCTGATAGGACTATTGAAAGGTTTAAGGCAAGGCTTGTGGTGAAAGGCTACAGTCAACAAGCAGAAACCTTCTCACCGGTTTCACCTGTGATTAAGATGACAACTGTGATGGCTTTGTTAGCCACGACAATAAAGAAAGGTTGGAGCATCTTCCAACTTGGTAAACAATGCATTCCTCCATGGTGAGTTGCATGATGAGGTGTATATGGAGGTGCCCCCAGGTTTAGTAGTACTTAAACCAGGGATGGTATGCAAGTTGAAGAAATCCCTATATGGTCTAAAGCAAGCCAATAGGCAGTGCAATGCCAAGCTGGTTGAAGCCTTGTACTCCAAAGGTTATACTCATTCATTGAATGACTACTCACTTTTCCATAAGAAGTCTGAAAATTCCACTATTTTGATTGTTGTATATGTAGATGATGTTATTCTAACTAGCACAAGTGTTTCTGAAATTGAGGAGCTCAAAACTTCCTACATGATAAGTTCAGGATTAAAGACTTAGGAAAGTTGCACTACTTTCTTGAGATGGAGGTACTCAATAAAGAGAATGAACTCATCATTTCACAAAGGAAGTTTGTTCTTGACATGTTGAAAACCTACAATGTTGCAAGCATGAGTAGCTGCACATCTCCACTAGACCCTGCAGTGAAATTCCATGCCAAAGAGGGAACTCCATTGTCAGAACCTATGTTTTACGGAAAGCTCATTGGGAAAATGAACTTCCTAATCAACACTAGAATGGACATATCATACAATGTGCAACACCTTAGCCAATTCATGCAGGATCTCAGAGAACCACACTTGCAAGCAACATTCCACCTATTGAGGTATCTTAAGACAGATCCCACTTTAGGAATTTTCAAGTCACATGACCAGAAATACAATGTCAAGGCCTATTGTGAGTCTGATTGGGCTGCATGCCCTGATTCCAAGAAGTCAGTAAGTGGTTATATTGTATTGTTAGGCAATAGCCCACTTAGCTGGAAATCTAAGAAACAAGAGACTATATCCTTGTCTTCAGCAGAGGCAGAGTATAGAGCTTTGAGGAAAGTTGCAGGTGAACTAGTTTGGCTTAGTAGATTGCTGACAGAGCTTACAGTGCTACTGCCAACCCCCATTGAAGTATATTGCAACAGTCAATCAGCCCCCCACATTGCTAGAAATCCAATGTTTCATGAGCGAACCAAGCACGTTGAAGTTGATTGTCACTTTGTAAGGAATATACTCCAGGCAGGACTTATTCCACTACATCACATAAGCTCAGACAATCAACTAGCAGACATCTTGACTAAGACACTGTCTGGCATAAAACATTCTGCAAGCTTTGAACAAGTTGTCAGTGTTCTCCACACCTCCAACTTGAAGGGGGGGGGGGGGTATTAAGATTAGCTAATTATAATATCTGTTAGTTAACGGATTTGATTAGTTAGTTAGCCTAGCCAGTCAGATCAGTTTGTTAGCTTACCCTAGCTTAGCCTGAATTATGTTAGTATGCCAGTTGTATAGATTAGTTAGATATTTTGTCTTTCCCTTATATAAATACACATGAGCTCATGAATGGATATCAGTTCAGAGATTTTCCCCAAATTCCTCTCTTCTCTGATCTCTTCCTCGTGAATTACATCCATGGATGATGATTAGCTCTCTTGAGCAGTACTCTTGACAGAATCTTAGTTCACCGGGCTGGTCTCACCTTTTATAGTTGTCAATTTCTGGTGCAGGCTGAATAGTCATGTTTCTTATTTTAAGAAATTATGTTTTAGGTAATGTAACTTTGTCTTTTACACTAAACAAATCAAATTATTTGAGAACCATTTTTTTTGGTATATGATATATAGAGGAAGTGACCAGATTAATCAAAGCAGTACCAATTTTTCAGGATGGAGCATGGATAACAGGATAAGCTTATTTAAGACAATGAAAATATAAGAAGAATCTTTAGGCCTAAATTCCTTTTTACTATTTGCTTGCAATGTAGCCAACCTCGATTTCTTTCCTTAGTTGACACTGTTAACTGTTAAGCATAAAGGCCTACTTTGTGTTGATCTTTTTCCATAATGTAAGAGTGCAGTTAAGATATGAAATATGATATATGCTACTTCTTTAGAACTATTGAGAAAAAACTTCTAAAAGTAAACAAAAAAAAGATACAAGTCCCTCAATCTGATGTATGTCACTTCTTTAGAACTATTGGGAAAGGGTTTTTTGAAGGCGATGTAGCAGATGGTGAAGGACAGGGAAATCTCAGAAGGATAAATGCTAGTTATTGGCTTTAAGAGACTTACTTTTCTCACGATGAAGTTTCTCAAACAATGAAACAATTTCAAGAATTCAACTTGAAAAGTTCCGGAGTACCTCTACATTTCACAAAATTTTTGTGCTTTTTTTCTTTCTTCTTTCTCTTAGGGGGGACAAGACTTCTCTTTTTTATTTGGGAAAAAGGACAAATATACCCCCGAACTATCGTAAATGGTATGCAGATACCCTCCGTCATACTTTTGAGACATTGGTGCCCCTGCCGTCCAAAAACTAGAGCATATATACCCTTTATACTAACGGACATACACGTGTCATAATCTTATCCACCGACCGACATTTATTAAATATTGGATCGACAGATAAGATTGTGCCACGTGTCCCTATTTAGTCTTCCGTTAGAGTGAAGGGCATATATGCTCTAGTTTTTGGATGGCAAGGACACCAGTCCCAAAAGTATGACGAAGGGTATTTGCATACCATTTACGATAGTTCAGGGGCATATTTGTCATTTTTCCCTTTTTATTTTGAATACATCTATCATGAGTTGTTCTCTTTTTGTCCTGGACTATTCACCAAATAAGTTTAGATAGCTTCTCCAGTAATGAAGAAGTAATTAGCCTTTAATCCATGTGCTGCTTTAAAATCAATAACAGGACACCCTCCTCCTCCTTAATTTTGTTGGTCCAGCTTCTACTATTGAGATCTTTCAAGCAACAATGTACAACCTTAGTAATCTTTGCAGGATAAACTAGTCTTATTTTACTGTTACATAAATCCTCATTTATCAATAAGATATGACATGGGCATGGTTACTTCATGGAAATTCTTCAAAATACACTGAAAATTAAAAGAAGAAGTATATATACCAATGCCACATACATACACAGGTCCACATTGAGTCGGTACCTACACTTTCCTTTATATTAATGATGATCTGGTCAGTTATTAAATTATGCACTCAGATTAAAGACAACAAAATTTTATTTAAAAGGTTTGTTGAAAAAACATAAAAGATGTGGCATTAAGACTTAGGTGTCGGTGATGAGTCATGAAACACAAGTACGTTTGAAAGTATAACATATCGTGGAATCAATTAAGCATTTGCCTCCTCTATCACTTAGTTAGATATTTTTATATTTTTAGCAGGAAGGAAATTAGTTCTTATTCAGATCACCATCTTTTGTATTGGTACTGCTCTTATGTTTAGCTAAATTTCTGAGCAGGTTGCTGCCTTGGCTCCAAATATTCCTGCAATGTATGAGCTACACTTTGGAGTACCAATGGCTGGGGCAGTTCTTTGTGCACTTAATACACGTCATGATTCTGCAATGGTCTCTGTGTTACTTAGACACTCAGAGGCCAAAATCATATTTGTAGATCACCAGTTGCTCGATGTTGCTAAGGGTGCATTAGAAATTCTATCTAAGGCAAGCAGAAAGTTGCCGCATCTTATCTTGATCTCTGATAGAGAGAGTCCGTTATCCAGCCAGAATAATAATAATAGGAGCTTGGCTTCAAAAGATCTGAAGTATGAGTCCTTATTAGCTAATGGAGAACCTGATTTTGAGATTGTCTGGCCAAATGATGAATGGGATGCTATTGCTCTTAATTATACCTCAGGGACAACATCGAGACCAAAAGGGGTCGTTTATAGTCACAGAGGGGCATATCTTAATTCTCTGGCTGCAGCACTTCTTGCTGAAATGACTTCAATGCCTGTCTATTTATGGACCCTTCCCATGTTTCATTGCAATGGATGGTGTCTTACTTGGACTGTGGCAGCACAGGGTGGTACAAACATTTGCCTGAGAAACGTAACCGAAAAAGGGATTTTTGACAGCATAACTCAGCACCAAGTGACTCACATGGCTGGTGCACCTACGGTTTTGAACATGATAATAAATGCGCCACGAAGTGTCCAAAGACCACTCTCAAGGACAGTTAACGTTATGACAGGTGGTGCCCCACCTCCTCCTCAAGTTCTACTTAAGATGAAAGAGCTCGGTTTTAATGTTACTCACGGATATGGTCTTACGGAAACCTATGGTCCAGCAACTGTTTGCATTTGGAAACCAGAGTGGAACTCTCTATCACCTGATGAGCAGGCTAATATTCATGCTCGTCAAGGAGTGAACCATCTTGGCTTGGAGGATGTAGACGTAAAGGATTCTGAATCAATGAAGAGTGTACCCTCAGATGCAAAAACAATGGGTGAGGTGATGATTAGAGGAAGCACAGTAATGAATGGTTACTTAAAAGATCGCAAAGCTACAGAAGATGCTTTTAGAGGGGGTTGGTTTCGAAGCGGGGATTTAGCAGTGAAGCATCCTGATGGTTACATAGAATTAAAGGATCGTTCAAAGGACATCATTATTTCCGGTGGAGAAAACATTAGTACAATCGAAGTGGAGTCTGTAATCTTTAGCCATCCATCTGTTCTTGAAGCTGCTGTAGTGGGAAGACCAGATGATCACTGGGGTGAGACACCCTGCGCATTTGTCAAACTGAAGAATGGATGCAATGCAAGTGCTGATGAGATCATCAAGCATTGTCGTGATCGTTTGCCGCATTACATGGCTCCTAGGACAGTAATTTTTGATGACCTGCCAACAACTTCAACAGGAAAGATTCAAAAGTTTGTTCTGAGACAGAGAGTCCAAAGCCATGGGAAGTGTTTCGAAAGCTAGCAAACTATAATGAATTGTGGTGTTGAAATGGAGCTTGCTTAGTGAAACACGCTTTTATTGTTCTAGACATAAGTTTAATCATATTGCATTAATAAGATTAGTTCAGCAGAACAATAGATGAACTTGACCTTTTGAAAAAAGGTTATTATTATTTACTGTATTGAATTCATGATGCTTTATAATCATCAGACAACAGATTAATAATAATAAAAAAGCTCTGTTTCTCTCTAATATATCTTTGAGTTCTTTCATTTATTACTTCTCCTTTGTTTACAGTTATTTGTTGACTGCACTATTTTTGAGTTCTTTCATTTATTACATCTCCTTAGTTAGATGAGTAGGATCATGGTTATATGTATTATATCATTAAAAAATTAGATTTTAATGTGAGATGATATACTAAATATGTGCTTGGTATTTTTTGAGTTAAAATGTAATAGTTGGATGACTTTGTTGTCCTAAAAAAATCAAAATAACTTTGATAAGATATCTCATACTAAAGAAGCACATCTTTGTATGAGGCTCGTACTATAGAACAATAACAAAATATTTCCATTTAAAGTGCCCATGCAAACATCACACCAACTTTCTATCTTTAACCTTTTGATTCAACGCATGAATCATTATGATATTGACACAGGTATGATCATAGTCATTATTTATCAAAACGACATCGTAAATTAATAATTTCAAATCACGTCCAAACGGCGTCATAGTATTATAAAGAAATGGAGAGAATATTTAGTATAGATTTTGTTTCTTGTCATTAACACAGTATACTTTTTGCTTCCTTCTGCCAAAATTGACTAGACTCATATCGACACTCACTACTATGCTCTCTGTTAGTTTGCGTGCCTGTGGAAAAGCTCTCAAAAATTTCACCCAAAACAAGCAAAGCAGAAGCTAGAATTCTTTTGTAAGTCTTTTTTGCTTTTCTAAAACTTCAAAAATTATTCAGAAAATGTGGTGTTTCATGATGATTTTTTGATACTCACATTTAAGTTTTTGTGTTTATGTTTAAGTAATCTTTGTGGGTTTTCTTCATTCCTCACAACTGTTCCTGTTTGATCTTGATATATAGCTAATAATGCAGTTTGTTCTGAATATTCGTTTTGAGGTTTTTTTATTTAAAAGTTGGTGAATCAGAGAAGTGGAACTGATTTTAGCTATTTTTGGAAGTAAAAGTAAAACTTTGTTAAAAGAATGAAAAAGATCACACATCGGTGGTTAATGAGATGGATAGTCCACTTATAAGGCGGCGTGACGATGTGAGTTAGACCCAAACCTAATTTTGCAAACTTCTCCCTCATTTCTTTCATGGATGATCCACTTATAAGGCGGCGTGACGGTGTGAGTTAGACCCAAACCTTATTTTGCAAACTTCTCCCTCATTTCTTTCATGTGAGTTCTTCTGCCTCTGATCATGTTTCTGAGTTTAGAGGTGAACTAGGATTAGTGTGCTGAAATTGTTGAAAGCACTTTATGGGTTTCCTAAAAAAGTTTGTAATGTGGGTAGCTTATACATTTCATTTAATTTTTTGTTTTCTGAAATGCTGGTTAGTCTCAAATCTTCGAGATTTTTTAGTTTTTATGGCTGGATAGATCGATGTTAAGAGTGAATTCAAGTTGAGGTTGCTTTAATGTTATTCTCTGTTGGCTCTCATCATAACTCGTTCTATAAATAATTGAATATTTGTTGCCTCATACATTGTCCATTCTATAAGATTTGTTATGTTGTTTCACTTTATTCACAAATATTGGGTCATGTAACAGGTGAATTTGGAGGTTGTGTGAATAAGCGAGTCCAGAAGTACTTGTGAATCCTTAGAGAAAAAGATGGAATCAGAGGATTCTGATATGAATATCGTAGTGACTCAAATTAGTGTTGGTGGGTTCGACAATGATGTCAATGCGAAAATGCTTTCAGAATACCTGGAAGAACAAGTTGGACAAGTGTTGAGGTGTAGATTAAAGACTTCGTCCACTCCTCCTAAATCTTACCCAACTTATCACATTGATGAAGAGAGCGTGCAAAGAATGAACGATTACATAAGAGTGGAACCTCATGCATTCGTTCATTTTGCATCTTCAGGGTCTGCAAATTATGCTCTTGCTGCTGCTGGGCGTAATGAACTAATATTAGGAGGGAAGCCTTTGAAGGTTAGTTTGGGTCCTGGGAATCCCCATTGTTTGGATAAGAGGAGAATAGATGAGATGCCCTTAAAGTTTTCAGATGTTAATGTAGAAATTGGAGGACTGGTTAGTAATGATGACTTTGTGGTTGGTTGGAGGGGACCTCTTACTGGTGTGAACTTTCTTGTGGATCGATTTGATGGGACATGCAAAATACTTTTCACAAAGAATACTGTTTTCTCTTTCCAGAGTGAAGCAAGACAGGCTGTTATAAAATGCAATTTCAAGATTCAGTTTTTGACGAGGGAAATCAATGAGATAAAGGAATGTAAAGACTTTGCATCTTTGGTAATATTATTGCAGCTGGCTTCATCTCCATTGGTTTTCTATAGAACTGCAGATGATGATGTTGAAGAATCAGTAGCATTTGACTTATTAGACGATGATGATCAATGGATCCGAACTACAGACATTACATGTAGCGGAGCCATTGGTCGGTTTAATACCTATCGTATCTCAATTCGGCCTCGCAATGGTCCTAACTTTGGGAAGGCCAAGAAATTTTTTCGTGAAAGTAGGGTGCCCGTGGTAGAACCATGTAACCAAAGGCTCCGGGTGAGAAATGAACCTGATTTTGGTGTGCCCATGCCAGAACCTTTCTTCTGCATCCAAAACCATGGAGGTATAAGCTTTAAGGTCTTGTTTCTGGTAAATGCGGTTTTGCACAAAGGCATTATTAATCAGCATCAGATGACCAATGATTTCTTTACTTTGCTTAATAAGCATCCGGAGGGGATTAATGTAGCTGCACTGAAGCACATATTTTCCTTCAAAAGGCCTGTCAATGACGCTGTTAAGAAGTTAGAACACATCCAGACATGGCTGTGGAATAAACTTAACCTTCTCAAGAGAACTGAAGAGTCTGATGATGTTGTAGAGGTTAGGAGGTTGGTTATCACCCCAACCAAAGCATATTGTCTTCCACCGACCGTGGAGCTGTCGAATAGAGTCCTCAGGAACTATAAACATGTCGCAGATCGATTTTTGCGAGTTACTTTCATGGACGAGGGCATGTGGAACTTGAATAGGAATGTGCTGACGTACTATGCTTCCACCATCGTGAGAGAAATTACGTCAAAATCTAATCCCCAGAAAACTGCTATCTTCCAAAGGGTGAAAACTATGCTGAGTCAAGGATTTTACCTGTGTGGTCGCAGGTACTCTTTTCTGGCATTCTCAGCTAACCAGCTGAGGGATCGTTCTGCCTGGTTTTTTGCAGAACACCCGAAAATTAGTGTGCCCAGCATCATAAGCTGGATGGGGAGGTTCAGTAACAAGAATGTTGCAAAATATGCTGCTAGGATGGGGCAGTGCTTTTCATCAACCTATGCAACAGTGGAAATCTTTCCAAGCGAGGTTAACTCCAAGCTTCCAGATATAGAAAGAAATGGGTATATTTTCTCTGATGGAATCGGCATGATATCAGCAGATCTAGCTATAGAAGTTGCAGAGAAGTTGCAATTAAGTGTCAATCCTCCTTGTGCTTATCAGATAAGGTATGCTGGTTGTAAAGGTGTTGTTGCATGTTGGCCAGCAAAGAATGATGGCATCCGTCTTTCTGTGAGACCAAGTATGAAGATATTTGACTCAAATCACACTATCCTTGAAATTTGCTCTTGGACGAGATTACAACCTGGTTTTTTGAACCGGCAAATAATAACCCTGCTCTCATCTTTGAAGGTTAAAGAAGAAATATTTTGGGAAATGCAGAAAGAAATGTTATCAAGGTTGGATAAAATACTTGTGGATTCGGATGTGGCTTTTGATATCATTACAGGTTCATGTGCTGAGGCAGGAAATACTGCAGCTATAATGTTGAGTGTGGGGTTTAAACCTCAAAGTGAGCCTCATTTAAGAGGGATGTTGTCTAGCATTAGAGCTGCTCAACTTGGCGACCTCAGGAATAAGGCAAGGATATTTGTTCCTTCCGGAAGGTGGTTGATGGGCTGTTTGGATGAATTAGGTGAACTTGAGCAAGGCAAATGCTTTATTCAAGTGTCAAGCCCTTCTTTGGAGAATTGCTTTGTTAAGGATGGTCCAAATTTTTCTGATATCAAGAAAAATCTTCAAGTAATAAAGGGCCTTGTTATAATTGCAAAGAACCCGTGTCTTCATCCCGGGGATGTGAGGATTCTGGAGGCTGTAGATGTTCCTGGTTTACACCATCTCTATGATTGTCTGGTCTTCCCTCAGAAGGGGGATAGGCCACATCCAGATGAAGCATCAGGGAGTGACCTTGACGGTGACCTCTACTTTGTGGCTTGGGATAAAAATCTCATCCCACCCAGTAAGAAAAGCTGGATGCCAATGGACTATGCTCCTGCAGAAGTTAAACAGTTGGATCGTCATGTTGAACATGAGGTAACTACTCAACTATAATAATATTTCCTGCATGTTTGATTCATATCTTCCTATATTTGGTTAGCTTTTCCAGATCTGTATAAATTTGTTACAGCCTAATGTTCACTTGGATAGAATACTGATGAGATAATTATAGGCCTTCTTGAAACGCTACCATTACTTGTTCTTTAGCTTATATTTATCTTTTAACAACTGTCTTGAGTTTTGTTGTTTTAGTAAGATACTTGTTGCTCACTTTTCTTGTATTATGCACCCCAACTCCCAAGTTAATGCTTCTCTGATTTTGTATTTGCCTTTGTTTTGTAATAGAAGAGGGAGAGAGTCTCCATGGCTCAAAATATTTGTGACCATTTGTGGTGTCTGGGTATATCCAACAGATTTTGCACTTGTTATCTGTTGGATCATTCAACTGGTTGCCTAGCATTCTTTTGTATTTTAACTATCTTTTTCTTTATTTACAGGACATAATAGATTTTTTCTCAAAGAACATGGTTCAAGAGAGCCTAGGAGAAATCTGCAATGCGCATGTGGTTCATGCTGACCTCAGTGAACTTGGAGCTTTGGATGAGAAGTGCCTTAAATTGGCAGAGCTTGCTGCTATAGCCGTTGATTTCCCCAAAACTGGAAAACTTGTCAGCATGCCTTATAACCTCAGACCAAAACACTATCCTGACTTCATGGGGAAAGAGGAATTCCAGTCATACAACTCCGAGAAAATTTTGGGCAAATTAATGTTTTATCTCAGGGAGAATTTACTGGACTTGAGTTTGTCCCTGAAGACATCCCATATGATACTAATCTTGAGATCCCAGGATACGAAGATTTCATAGCTGAAGCATGGAATCACAAATGTTCTTATGATAGTCAGTTGAATGGACTTTTAGGACAATACCAAGTTAACGGGGGGGAAGAGGTGGTTACTGGACATATATGGTCCATGGCAAAGCACAATTCAAAGAAGCAAGGGGAATTAAAAGAGAGGCTGAAGCATGCATATAATGCGCTGAGGAAGGAGTTCAGGAATGTTTTCGAGCATATGGATCCTGATTTTGATCAACTTTCCATTGATGAGAAGAACGATATGTATGAAACAAAGGCGTCTGCATGGTATCGGGTTACCTACCATCCTCATTGGGTGACTAGAACAGTACTGGAGTTGCAAAAGACTGATGTTGTCTCAAATACTGTTATGTTAAGTTTTGCATGGATTGCAGCAGATTACCTTGCTCGAATTAAGATTAGACAAAGGGGAATGCAGCATTCCGACTCTACCAAGCGTATCGATTCTCTTGGAAGGTATCTTGTTGACAAGATATAACAACCATTTGGCTGTAAGGCCACTCTGCCATTATCAATACTTGGTTTGTGAAGATCACATTTGTGACAAAAAATCATATATGTGAAGATCAATGCTTATTACGCATGCTGTTAGTTATAAATATATTCTTATGCTATTAAAGAAGTCTTATACTAGGAGGGATGACAATAGAGCGGTGCGGGGTGGGGCGGATTTAGTCCAACCCACAAAATTTTCAACCTGCTCCAGCTCCACCCTACATTTCTTTTTTTTTTCTACTTTTAACCCGCTCTGCTCCGCCCCACTTAGGTTAGTACTGCTACATACGTAAAGTAATATTATATATCTATCATCCTCTCATATTACTTACATATCATATCCATCCTTTTTTGTTTTCTATTTCTACAAATATAAATAAAAAGATATTGTAATAATTAGCTAGAATATAGTAATGAATAATGAAAAAGAGAGAGCCTGTTTGATCTGAAATTAGCTAGTAATGAATTTGGTACATTTATTTTTTTTGGCTTAAAAAGAAGTTCTTTAATATATATACTGTAAATAAGGTAGCTAGTAATACTATTGATATTTAATAAGAAGCAGTAGAACAAGAAGGGAGGAAATCTGCACCCGCATAATTTTAAAAAAATTAAGACGTTTCCCTGCCCAACACTAGCTTAGAAACTGCCCCGCCTCACATAGTCTTAAATTCGCTCATTCATGTCTCATTGTTATCCCATTTATACACAGTAGTATTATGCTAATTATCTCCACTAGTATATTTGTTTCCTCAGTCGTTATTTATTATTTTGGTCTTTGTCATTTTAGTCATCGCTTAAACTCTTTTACGTTTATTAAGAAAATAATAAATACAAAGTATAATTTACTAAAGAGTCAAAATGTGTGAGGTATATGGTATAATAATCTCAATGATAAACTGCAAGACTATTTTATCATACGTTTGGTTGAAGGTATTAGGTAGTCCTGAAATTATTTATTCCACCATTTCCTTAGTGATAGGATAAGTTATCACATATGCATAAACATGATGGAATGACTTATTCTTTGGTAATTTATTTTGGGATAACTTGTTTCCAATCAAACGATCCCTAAGAGTTTGTTTGGATGGACTTAGAAGGTGCAAGAAGATTACAATGTGGGGAGTTGAACCTTACCAACAAGGTAGGAGTTTAGGTTACTAAGCTACTAAGATTTCCTTTTTTTTCAAAATGTATTTTAGAATACTTGTATCATTGATTTTCTTCTATTTACCAGCCTTAAACCTTGGACCTAATGGCTCAGGAGAAAAATCCTCAACCAGTCAATCACTATGATCAAGAAGGCCAATGCGACTTATAAGTATAGGTCACAATTAAGAATCCTAATCTATGACTTTAAGCCTTTTTTTGTTACAATTAGCTCAAAAACATGTGCTTAAAATCATTTCTTAATCATACTTAATTTTTTCTAAAAAATAAGTTAATTCAAACAGGTTCTACCTTACTCATGTGTATTTGATGTTTTTTTTTTAGAATTCAACAATATTAAAAAAAGAACTATTTTTTAATGTCAAAGATATAGTTAAAAATTAATTTGTGTGGTTCAATTGCTTCGTTTTAAAACTTGGTGGTCTGAATCATTCACATCAAAAAACTTTAGCGGGGCTCTTCGCAATTACTCCATTCTTTAGAACCTTCTACCAAAAAAATCCACAAAACTTCCCTTGGAATTCTCGAGAAACCGAACAAAAGGCCACTTCTGTCATTTCACACAAATCACAAAATAGTAATAAATATCTTTTTTTCCTTATTTTCGTTTTCGCGCCCGCTTAGTTTTATCCCGCTTCCTCTTTTTAGGGTTTTGAAAACCTCTTCTCCTTTCACTTTCCCCCACTCTCACTCTCGCACTTTCTCGAGAAAAAAAACCGTCGCAATTCGCCGGAAAAATGCCGCCGATTAACTTGACGGAAGGAGCAATAGAGATGCTATCGATCGGAGAAGGGCATCCCGAGGAGTTTAAACCGGTGCTACAGATCACGGATGTTCGGTTGGTGAATACTCAGAACCAGACTAACAATAATGAACGATACCGGATTTTGATATCGGACGGAACGCATATTCAGCAAGGGATGTTAGCTACGCAGAAGAACGATCTAATTCGGTCTCAACAGATTCGGAAAGGAACTATTATTCAGATGAAAGAGTTCGTTCGTAATGTCATCCAGAATCGAGTGTAATGATTCCTGATTCCCTTTCAATTACTCTTAATTTTGTTATTACGTGGACTAGTAATGGTATAATTATTGAAATCTTGGATTGCATGTGTGCACCTTGAGTGAATTTTTTCATTGAGATGCTTTGCCGTGCTGTTTTATGTTTGTGTTTTTTGAGAAAAAATCAATTGTTTAAAGTACTTTTTTTACTTGTTGATTGCTGTTGTCATTTGCACGCTCAAAGCAAATGTTATGTCTGTAAAAATTGTGAAATTCCATTACCTGGGGAGTTCTGGATTTCTTTTTTCTGGACTGTTGATGGTGATCAATTGACGCAAAGATGATAGCATGTATGTTACAGATATTATTTCATACCTCTCATCTTGTGCTCAACTTGGGTTTAAGTTTCTGTATGTATGAAAACCTTTTCCTATTATGACAGGGTTCCTTAAATGCCAGTGGTTTGCTCCTGCAGTTGGTTTTACATTTATTTTAGGTTTGTAGATAGGCTTTTTCCGAATTAGCAAACTTCTGCTTTTGCAGTCATGATTGCAACTGTGTGGGTTATTAGATAGGCGTTTATCTAAATTAACAGTTTAGTGCTATTCAGTTAGGACTTAGGACTGCAAATCTGTATGTTTCTGGATTATCATTTTGGTTTCATGAACTGCAAAGACTCTTTGATTGGGAGCACAATGTATGGTTAGACCCTAATTGCTAAGTTTCTTCCTCTTAAGGTGAGTGTCTTGACACTTTTGTATGATGAGCTTTCCCAAGACTGGTTCTTTGAAAAGATAATTAGCAAACAGCTTACCATGTCAGTAATTTCCAGCTATAATTTCCAATGAAGAACCTACATATATATGTGTTTTATGTATTTCACGTTTCGTAAATGTTTATGAATCATACTTTTAGTTTAAAAATTTATTGATATTCATTGTCTAATTCTTCAAACAGGATCATCATTATTATTGAATTAGATATTTTACTTGAGACGTGTGATCAAATTGGAGACCCAAAGCATTATGTCAGAACTGATGGTAGTGTCCCTTCGGTGCCACGACCAGCTGCCCTGCTGCAGCCTTCCACCAATCAATTAGGTGGTGTAAGTGTAAACCCCCAATCATTTGCTTCTCTTTCCGCTACTTCAGGCTCAACTCCAAGACCAAATATGTCAGGAGGAATGCAATCTCCAGAGATGAACCGTAGCAGTGTTTACAATACTGCCTCTGTTGGGAATACTGACTCTGGACGATATAGTTCAGGTGCACCTCTTTACCCCAGAGCAGAATCTGGTCCTGCAATTTCACGGGCTCCAATGAATTATGTGCGTCCACCTCAGCCTTCTTATCAACAGCCTCCTCAGTCTTCTTATCAGCAGCCATCACCAATGTACTCCAACAGAGGACCTGTAGCCAAGAATGAAGCACCTCCAAGGATTATTCCAATTGCTGCTCTCAATCCATATCAGGGTCGGTGGACTATCAAGGCCAGGGTAACCGCAAAGACGGAACTCAGACACTACAACAATCAAAGGGGTGATGGAAAAGTATTCTCTTTTGATCTTCTTGATTCTGATGGAGGAGAAATAAGGGTGACTTGTTTTAACTCTGTAGCTGACCAATTTTATGACCAGATTGAGCCAGGTAGAGTGTATCAAATTTCAAAAGGAAGCTTGAAACCAGCTCAGAAAAATTACAATCACCTTCCAAATGACCATGAAATTATGCTCGAGAGCACATCTGTAGTTCAACCTTGTTTTGAGGATGACAGGGCTATTCCTCAGCAGCAATTTCATTTTCGGCCAATCAGTGACATTGAAGCCATGGAGAACAACAATGTGATAGATGTGATTGGTGTGGTGTCTTCAATAAGTCCATCTAGTTCAATAATGAGGAAAAATGGTACAGAAACTCAGAAGAGAGTCCTCCAGCTGAAGGACATGTCTGGTAGAAGTGTTGAAGTAACTTTGTGGGCAAATTTCTGCAATGCAGAAGGTCAAACACTTCAGAGTCTCTGTGATTCTGGGGCTTTCCCTGTCTTGGCAGTTAAAGCTGGTAGAGTAAATGATTTTAATGGCAAATCTATAGGTACTATATCTACAAGCAAGTTGTTTATAGAACCAGATTTTCCTGAAGCTCTGAAAACGAAGGCATGGTTTGAAAGGGAGGGAAAGAACACGCCATCTATGTCATTGTCACGAGAAGTGAGCAGTATTGGTCGGACAGATGTGCGGAAGACTATATCTCAAATCAAAGATGAGAAGTTAGGCACTTCTGAGAAACCAGATTGGATCACTATAAGTGCCAGTGTTACATTTATAAAGGTTGATAATTTTTGCTATACTGCATGTCCCCTCATGATAGGAGATAGACAGTGCAACAAAAAAGTGACAAATAATGGGGATGGGAAATGGCGGTGTGACAGGTGTGATCAGACTGTTGATGAATGTGAATATAGGTACATTCTTCAGTTCCAGATTCAGGACCATACTGGCTTAACATGGGTTACTGCATTTCAAGAATGTGGTGACCAGATAATGGGTGTATCTGCAAAAGAATTGTATTTCTTAAAATATGAGGAGCAGGATGATGATAGGTTTGCAGAAATCATGCGTAATGTGTTATTCAACCAGTTTATATTTAAATTGAAAGTGAAAGAAGAGATGTATAGTGATGAGCAGCGTGTTAAGTCAACAATGGTCAAAGCTGAGAAGCTGAACTTCCAACCAGAGACCAGGTTTCTGTTCGACCTGATAAACAAGATTAATGGGCAGGAATCCAGCACTTTACCTCCTAAGACAGATGATGCAACTCCGAATTCAGGGTTTAATAATACTGGAGTTGGGAATAAACGCAAAGAACCAATGAGCCCTGTTGCAAGTTATGGTGGCAGCCATAGCGGTATCAGCAGAGATAGTGGACTGCAGGGAAATCGGCAAGGTCCATATGGGAATCAGCTTACTGGCTCACAGTTCGCTCCGCCTGGCTCTACTGCAGGCAGTATCAGCAGAGAAAGTGGACTGCAGGGAAATCGGCAAGGTCCATATGGAAATCAGCCTACTGGAACACAAAATGCTCCGACTGGCTCTTCTACAGGCATGTATATGAGCTGTAATAGTTGTGGTGGAACAGGTCATAGTGCTTCAAACTGTCCAAGCATGATGAGTGGTCAGAGCCAGGCATATGGAGGTGGTTTTGGCAATAGGGCAACTTCAGGGATGAGCAGTGGTGGTGGTGGTGGTGAGTGTTATAAATGCCATCAGTATGGACATTGGGCAAGAGATTGCCCAGGTGTAAGCAATGCACCTGCTGCCAATAACATGACATCAGGAAGATACGGGAATACTCCAAGGCAACACGTCGGTGGTTTTTGATGAACCTTTTTGAGCGCATAAAGTTGTCCTGTACAGAGGTTTAGATGTCTTCTCTTAGTGGCTCATCATGGCTCATGTTCTGCTTTTGAGAAAGCTTCTTGAGGGCTTGCGTTTTACCTTTCTGTACAGTGGTCGCATGGGGATTAAATTATGCGTCACTGTTCCTGGACGAGAGTGCACTACAAGTCTTGTCGTCCTTGTTTTGAGGAGTGACATTTCGTTGTTCTTTCCTTGTAAATTATAGTCTTGCATTATCATCTCTTTTCGTCTTCCTTTTTTTGAGTTCTTTTAGGTAATCTTTCTTTGTGGTTTCGACCTTTTAAGATAAAAACTCCTGTGTTACAGTTTAGACTAACATGTGTATGTTGTCACATCTTTTTAATCTGTCGCATGTCATCTTTATTATTCACTATGCACGTCTTGAATACGTAATAACCCCTCCTATTCAAAATAAATGTTGTGTTTTAGGCTTGGGTACGTGAATGAAGTACTTCTGTTATAATTTTTCATCTAGATCCCTAGACTTGAAGTTTTATCACCTGAACTCTAATCAAATTTATGTCTATTGAAACCACAATGATTTTTCTCTTTCAAAATTATGAATTCTATGTCCACACAATTTTTCATAATAATACTCCAAATAAAATAGTGAAAAATATTCATGACCAAACGGACACTTAATTTTAGGGGGATTGGGGTTGTGGGGTGTTGGATGAGGTACCAAAAACTAGTTGGTCGACTTTTGGGTTATAACAAAAAATGTTGTTCAAGAAATATTCTCAATCTTTAATTTAGGTGTCTAAATGGAAATTTTGAGCAAGCTTAGGGAGCCACATATGTAATCAACCTTCTTTTAACGCACTTCAAGTCGCATTTCTCTCAGTTGCAAAAGGTTCTCACAAAATATTTTGCTATGGGCAAGTACCAAATTACGCCAAATGGGGAAAATCTGCAATGATGTTGACCGTCAAACATGAAACAATTGAAACCTAATTTAGGATTTAGGGTTGAGAGTTCCACAAGGCACGCGATCTTCAGCAACTGCCAAAAACTTTTTAAGTATACCATAATTTTCGCGGTTAACACTATTTATCTGTTACAAAGGAGAGGTAGCAAATTCTGTTTGGTCTAAAGCCAAACAGTGTGAGTTTCTTGAATGAAATAAGTAACAACAGTGTTCTCACAAAATTGATGCATTAGGTACTAGCTTCTTCACCACATTTTCTTTAGAGATCTGGCATGCCTTTTCCTGTTTTTGGATCATATGTCCTCTCCATAACAACCTCCATTGGAGTATCCTTAGGACCAGCTGCACAATGAAACCAAAACATACGCAAGAGTGAAAAGATCAGACTCTGTCAAACACATTAAAAAGTGGACCGAGTAGAGTTTACTCAAACATCTTAAATTGGTTGAACGAACTCTATAAGCATTTCCCTTGAAGTTTACTAGAAGGAACGTGGTAAGCAACAATGTCAAACAAGCACCACTTGCTAAGCAACACCTACCATCAAACGACTACATAAGTGGCATACCTCAGCACCTATCCAGCACACATATTTCTCAAAGTTGTGCAACCCAATGCCACCACATTACCAGCTCCCCCACACCACCACCACCCCCAGAAAAAAGGAAGAATGATAAAAGGTGATAAGAAGGCTTTCATCCAAACAGTAATCCCACATATGAAACCAAGGGAAGGAATAGAAGAATAAACCATGTTCTTGAGCTCTCCAGATCGATGCTTCATCTAAATTTGACTTATAATCTGATTTCAAATTATACTTTATCAAACTGACCATAATCCATCATGTATATTTCAACAATTTGTCTTAAATGAAACTTGTCCCACATTAAGGTTGCATCATGCAGTTGACTACAATTGATCCGAAGCTCTCTAAAGTTTTAACCTTTCATTTCTTCTTCCAGTTGAAATCAGATTATACCTCTAAACCAATAAACTGTTTTTTTTTTAAGTAACCCCTTCCCGCAACAAAAAAAATAATAAAAAATACAGCATTTACTACATTTGAAATGCAACAGAATACTCATTCAGAAGAATATACTCGTATGTAAAAGGATTTGATAATTACCAACTGTAGGCCTTGGTGTGGTCCTTATTTTTAAGATCTCGGGCCGGGGAATGATAGAACCAGATGCTCCTATACCTCTTGAGACTCTTACTTTGGAGCCATCCTCCAGGTATCTAATTCCGACCTTGGTTGGTTTCCTGCGGAAGAAAACATGAGCTACCATGTGCTAAGAGCAAAAAATAAAAGGTAAAGAGAAATAATATATCCATACCCTGTGACTGGATCTACAACCTGAACATTGGAAACATGCAGCGGGGCTTCGACTGTAAATATTCCACCTTCATGACCTTGCCCTTGTTTGATATGTTTCTTGACCTGCAGAAGGGCAATCATATAATATAAGGGATCATTTTGTTACATACTAATTATTTTTGGCGTAATGACCTGAAAGACCCCTGTACTTGGCTCCGTTTATCACTTGAACCCTTCTACTCACGACTTTGCCAACTGAACACTTAAAGTTATTACTATTTTAAACCTTTTTGACCATTGACTAAGCTTATGTGATGTTTTTTTTGCTGAATCAGATCAAGAGAGTGGTTTACTCATTTAAAAGCAAGTGAAGACAATTATTTAAATTTGTTTTAAAAAAGAATTAAAAGAAAAATATAACAATTAATAAAAAATGAAAAAAAACCTCATTCCCAATATGTTGTAAGTTTCTTCTTCTTCCTCCTCATAATTTCACCCAACCTCCACCATCACCATTCTCCACACACACATCTTCTTCCATCTCTTCCAATACTCTTACACACAATTCTTCCTTTTTCTCTTCTCATATGTTACCTATCATTTGAGAGTTCTATAATGATTGGGAAAGATATTTATTTAGATTTGGGTAAAAGAGAGGGGGAAAAAGAGGTTTTAAATTGTGAAATAGATGCGGATTTTAGATGGGTTTTTGAAAAACATATGTTTGAGATTCTTTCTAAATGCAAGGCAATTTTATTGAGAATATTTTTGAAGAGTTATCTATAATGACCCATTTTTGGTCTCCTTCTCTTCTTTCTCTCATCCTCCATTTTAGTCACTTTATTTCTCACCACCATTAAAATAGCAAAATTTATAATAAAAAACATAACAAAGCTTTGCTTATCTCTAATTCCTCTTCAACGTACAAAATTCACTAGGAAAGAAAAAAAATGAATGATTAGCAGCAAAATAGATGAAAAATATGGGAAGAAAAGAAAAAATGGAAAGAAATCAAGAAAGAAAGGATTTTGGGGATTAGTTTGAGATTTCTTTTTAAAAAATATTATTTGTAATAAAAAAAATGATGTGGCAATATATTTCTGATGTGGATAGTGAGGTGTTATCCACATCAGCGCGATTGGGAGACACATGATCAGAGGGGTTTAAAATACTGTGTTTTAATAACTTTAAGTGTTCAATTGACAAAATCGTGAGTAGAAAGGTCTAGGTGACAAACGGAGTCAAGTACAAGGGTTTCCCAGGTCATTCTGCCATTATTTTTTGATAAAATGAGGTAATTCTATTCATGAATAGTACCAAGTGGGTACTGAAGATGTAACAAAGTAAGTGATTTGTCCTCCGATAAAGCTTTAGAAAGTCTAACTAAGGCCAAAATATTTATCATGTTAGATAAAGAATCTCCCTTACACCAACGGTCTAAATATATCGTCAAACTAAAAAATAGCTGGAAACGCTTCTTTGTAAATTAACAACTTTCCTCAATTCAGCTATCACTAAGGGGTCATTTGGTGTGAAGGATAACACCAAATAGTCTTGGGATTAAATTATAGAGCCACTTAATTTGTTGTTTGGTTGGCAAGTCCGGGATAACTTATCCCGGGATCAATAATTTGTACCAGGATAAATTATCCTTTCCCTTGGGTGGTATAGTTATCCTAGGATAACTTATCACGGGATAAAATAGGTCAATGACAAAAATATCCCTTTAAACCCTTTTTATACATCACTTTTTCACATTCATGAAGGGTATTTTTGTAAACATTTGTTCTTAAAATTTATATAATGTATATTATTTTGAATACAACAAACCAAACACTCAATAAAAAATAATCTCAACATAACTTATCTCATCATAACTAATCCTAGCTCAACTTATCACATCATAACTAATCTCATCATAACTTGTATTTAAACCAAACGACCCCTAAATGTTATCATAAACAAGCTACTTTCTCATATTCTTTATATTACGGTCACCAATGAGGATTTACTACATTGAAACTACTTTATGCTCTCAGATTACAATCGTATAGCGTTGGATAATTAAAACCTAGACATTCTTCAGTCGACATCCATTCTCCAACACCACCACTAAACTTAATGTTAACAACACACAGCAAAGGCTGATACTATCACAACTTGAACCCAAAGAGAATAATCCAAATTCAGAGGTACTGTGAAAACTGGCATAACAGAGTAGCGTCATGAAGGTCGCATCAAGTCTGATAGGATCATATAGGACGGCTAATTTCTCAAGATCCTAACCTCTCTATCCAGTCTGAGGTTTTCAATTTAAAGCTTCTCTTGCTAATAATTGCTACATCTACAAACCTTAACAATAGTAAATGCTGGTAACTGATTAACCAGACTTTATGATAAAAAAGTTAAGGGTTTGAGATATATCCGTCAGTATAAAATATTTTTTTAAACCATCAGGTCAATTTTACCTGGGGTAGCAGGTAATCCGACTTATATTCAAAGTTACAAATCCCACGTTTTTTTTTTTTGAACATTGGTAAAGTTGTATTCTTCAGCATTAAGGACATGCTGGCCACGTTTTAAGGATGCTTACGTATTTATATCCTTTGAGTGACCTGATAGTTTAGAAACTAAAAAGCTTGTTATGCACTTATACTGACCATGTATATAACTTAATATATTTTTCCCAACCCTTCATTTTACTTTTTGTAATATTAGCAAACTGTCTACTGTTTAGTGTTTGCACAACGGTTTTCGAATGTAGAACAATTATCATTTATGCAGAAAATTAGTACTCGTCTGCAGTAGATTTTATACCTCAAAACATCTCTTATTCTTTTCAATAGTTTGAGTAAGGCTACAATCTTTGTATATAGTGAGCCGTACCTTCAAATTGTAGCATGCCCTTTGCTTTAAAAGCAGGGATATTTTCATTTTTATGTAGGTTGTGCACGACATCATATAATACAAACCAGCTATAAGATTGTTAGAACCACTTATCAATCTTCTATGTGAAATCCACAAGCACCCTATATTATACCACAACTATTAAAATTATTTTATTCTTGTAAGACCCAAAATTTGGAAAAGGAAACTCTATCAACAAACTTGCTTATTCATTATAATCTAAGTCCTCAGTTCTATACGCAACCCCTACACTTTGAGCATATGTCCCAGCATCAGACAATCATGGTTACGATGGATCCACAATGAATATGACAAGAAATGTTTAAAGAAAGAATAAATTACGACAAGATATGCTTAGAGATATAAAGTAAGTGTCACAAAATTACTAACCAGGTTTTTCCCCTCGACAATTACACGGTTTTGAGAACGTACGACACGCTTGACAACGCCAGTCTCGCCTCTATCTTTTCCTCTGATAATCATGACCTGAGTGTTGGCGGAAAAATGGGAAACATGAAATAGAAGTATTAAGAAATTGAATCAGCCATGCAAAACAATGATGAATGAGCCTTACATTATCTCCTCTGAGAATTCTCCACTGATGAATGAGTTTCTGATAACTTTTCCACCCCATTTTGAGCTAAATCAAAGTAAAAGCTCCCTTCTTTGCAGTCAGATGTGCAAAAGAAAAACACTAATTAGATAAATACTCCAAATAAGAACCCCCCCCCCCCCCCCCCCCACCTAAAAAAAAACTAAAATGGATCAAGAATCGTGAAAAAGTCAAATCTATTGCAAACCCATCTAAGCAAAAGACTATGCATTTACAGTGTAGGCCACTACTCTAACTTATCAGGAAAAAAAATGCAACTATTACAAAAAATTGCTATCATTAAGTAAGCAACAAAATTCTCATTAACTCCAACTCAAAGCTCCACAAGTCAAAACAGTATCTCGCATTACCTTAAGATATGAAAATGCAGGCATAGTAAAGCCCAATCAGGGAAAATGGAGAAGAACTCTATTCAAAGTAAAACGAGGAAATAAACCCAATCAACATTTGTATCAAGTTACTGATCTGAACCACAGAGGAATATGACATGTGTTCAGTACAACAGAAAATGTCTTCCCTTGTTAGGTTATTTAGTCTAACACCTAGACATTGTTATGAACCTTTAATACCCAAAACTATCAATACATAATCATTATACCTAATTCACCTAAAATGATTTCTCCGGATAAAACAGTTTCCATTTCCTCAATACACATAAGAAACAGAAAAAAATCAAAACTTTATGCAAAATTTGCATCTGGGTGTCTTTAATAATGGAAAAACATACTTTCAGAAACCCAAATCAAAAGAACAATCAAATTCTCAATTGTAGTTCGATATTTCACAACAACAAAAACCATTAAAATACGAAAAAAATAGATTAATTTTACAAAAAAAATAAAAAAATCCCAATAATATTGAAGAGGAGAGAACGAAGAAAGGGTACCTGAAGCTCAAGGTGTCAAAGCTCTACAGTTTCCCACAGGGTTTTAGCCTTTGAAGGTGATGGGGTTTAATGGATTCTTTGTTATGGGCTTTTATTAGTTTGGGCTTCATAAAGTTGGCTACCGGCCCAATTACCGTTTACGAGGAAGAAAATTGAAATAAATTCAAAAAATAGCCACATTTACACTACTATTTAGACTAGATATTAGGTTCCCGCGCCAGCGCGGGCCCAATATATATTACTTCCTCCGTCTCATTTTATGTGAGGTAGTTTGATTCGCTACGGAGTTTAAAAAAGAAATGAAGACTTTTAAAACTTGTCGTCCAAAATGAATGATATAAGTTTGTATGACTATAAATTATTTCATCAAGGGTAAAATAAATATTTTATAATCAAATTGCTACTTAATATAGAAATGTGACATTCTTTTGGGACTAACTAAAAAGGAAAGTAAGTAACATAAATTGGGAGTAGTTCTTTGTTTCAATTTATGTGACATCGATGAAATTTGGAGAGTTATATAATTTTTTGTATGTGATTTTGATAAATATATTTTGAAGTTGTTAATTTATTGTGATTTATAGCACTTCTTATATCATTTTCAAATAATATATATTACTCTTTATGTTCCATTTTATGTGACGTAGGTACTTTTATGAAACTCAACTAAATTTCTTATATGATTCTTAAATATTTTTAGTTGTTATTTTACTTTAGTTTACGGTACTTTTTATGTTATTTTCAAACAAACTTCATTTGTTTCAATATGGAATTAAAGAGTCAATAAAATTTCTTTTATGATTTTTAATTATGTGTTTTTTAATATCTTATATTATTACATATTGTGATTTTAAGTACTTTTTATGTAATTTTTAAATCTAGAGCAAATTAAAAGAAAAACATGGAAAAATTTAAATGAAGAAAGTACTAAAATTTTCAAATAATCATATTTCTATATTAAAATGTTAAAAACTTTAAAACTCCACATATATGCAGAAAATCATATACGGAAGACAAAATAATTTTTTAAAATATATATTAAAGCTCTTTCTAATAATATCACATATTTATTCTATTTTTCGAATAATATATATTTCTCACTCAATCTCAATTACGCAGTACATATGAAATTTTGAGAGTTAATCAAATTTTTAGTACTATTTTAAACTATATTTTATTACTATTTATATAATTTTCAAATAATATATGTTACTCACTCTATTATATTTATGCAATACATGTGAAATTTCAAGAATTAACCAAATTTTTAATATTTTAAATTGATTTTTAGTACTATTTTATACTTGATATATAATTAGTAAGAGCTAAAATTGTGGATTCTAGGACTTTTGACGCCATTTTCAAATAATATAAGATACTACTTTTATTTTAATTAGCCAAGCAAATTTCCATATATGATTTAAAAATATTTTCAGTTGCTAATTATTGTAATGTATGTCAAAAATAAAAAGAGTAACAATAAAGTAGGCCAAACACATGTTGGTACACCTCAACTCTCACTTCTACATAAAAAAAAAGAAAAAATAAGTGATTTAAGAAAATTATATAAATAACATTAATGATGAGATGAAGATTAAGAAAAAACCTCAAATAAATTAGTAGTATTAATGATGATAAAAGTTAAATAAATCATTTTTTCTATTATTTAAATTTTTAACATAAAATTTCCAATCTTTTAAAATTAAAAATAAATGTTAAAAATAAAAAAAGTAACAATAAAGTAGGCCAAACACATGGTTAAAAAAAATAAATATATATATATATATATATATATGAGACTTTGAAAGGACCAACACTGCATTATTTGATTGTACTAAACGCACTACTGATTGTACATTTTACAAAGGACCAACACTGCATCTTTGTATTGTACTAATGGTAGTACTAATTGTACATACAAAAAAAAAACACGCTTTCTCTAGAACTTTCTTCCTACATCTGCCAAAATTCTAACCCTAATTTCTCGCCTCCTTCCTAAAGTCGCAGCATTCTCTCAACTTTGCCTTCTACTTCGCACCTCTTCAATGGCGAATCCATCTGCTCCTTAGTTTTTCCTCTTTGTCTGCGCACTTTAACTCTCTCTCTGGAGCTTTGCTGAACATCTCTGCTTGTTTCCGACGCGCCGCGCAACTACTTGTTCATCGTTTAACTTTCTATCCTCCTAGGTAAAGTGGTTCTGTTCTGTCAACTGTTTCTTCGACTTCTTACCTCTTCAATGGCCAATTCATCTGCTGCTTACTATTTTTTCTTTGTCTATATATATACAGTTATAATCTGTCTCTGAACCTTTGCTTACGATTTCGGTTTCTTTCCAACGACCTGCACAGGTATTTCTTTATGCTTTAAGTGAAATTTACATGTTTCTTCCATCATTTGCTCTTTCTCCCATTCCTAATTCGTCTGCGGTTTACCTCTTTCTTCGATTCGTAATTTCTCTTCTCTGTACCATAGTACACCATATTATTACTCTGTTTGTTCTAATTTATGTGGCACACGCAAAATTTCAAATATTAAGCATTTTTTATATGTCTCTTTAATATATTAAGTTGTTAATTATTGTATTTTACAACTTGTTAATTATTGTAATTTATAATTTGTTTTTCGTCAATTTCGTCGACTATTTTTTTTATTAATTATTGTAATTTATTGTTTTTTTTCCCGTCAATTTCAAACAATATATGTTTATCATATAATCCATTTTATGTGGTACCAATAAAATTTAGAGAGTCAATTAAATTTTGTATATAAGTTTTAAATAATTAAGCTGTTAATTATTGTAATGTATAGTATTACTTATAGTATTTTTAAATATATTTAAATATTATATGTTAGGTTTTTTATCCTAATTTATATGGCATAGATAGAATTTAAAGTGTCAAATAATTGTTAATTATTGTAATAGATAATATGGAGTATTTAAGTCATTTATAGTATAGTATAATTAATATATAATATGTAGTATTTAAGTGTTATATTATGGAATTTGAGAAGTTATTAAAAATTTTATATGATTTTAAAAATATTTTAAATTGTTAGCTATTGTGATTTGTAGTACTTTTTTTTTACATAATTTTGAAAATAATATTTATTACTCTATTTGTTCTAATTTATGTGGCACATGCAGAATTTCAAATATTAAGCATTTTTTATATGTCTCTTTAATATATTAAGTTGTTAATTATTGTATTTTATAGTACATTTTGAACCTAATTTTTTAATAATATCTGTTATTTGCCATGTCCCAATTTATGTGGCATTAATTGATAGATTTGTTGGAGTCGAGAGATTTATTTTGTTAATTATTGTAATTTATAGTTTCTTTTTCGTCAATTTCAAACAATAAATGTTGTTAATTGATAGAATACTTTTAATGTAATTTTTTAAAAAAAATATGTGTGACTGTCCATGTCCCAATTTATGTGGCACATATAAAGTTTTGACAATTAACCAAAATTTTAATACATTTTAAAAAATATTTTTAAGTCGTTAAATTTTAAGTAATTTAATCCACTTAAATAATATTTTTCAACCTTATCATGGTAAAAGTTGAATTTATTATCCTTTTCATTTAATTTTATATGATATTATTTTTTCTATAAAATCATTATATATGTTTTAATAATTTAAATTTCAAAAACATTATAATTTAACTTTAAAGATTTTATTTTATCAAAATCTTGTACATTGAAATATATAGTTATGAATTTAAAATATTTTTAAAATCATATAAAAATTTCAATAACTTCTCAAATTCCATAATATAACACTTAAATAAGAAGAGTCTAGGATTTACTACCAAAAGTGGGCCCCATCTCCTTCCACTTAAATAATATTTTTCAACCTTATCATGGTAAAAGTTGAATTTATTATCCTTTTCATTTAATTTTATATGATATTATAATGAGTAATAATAATAATTGCAATATTAGTCCTTCTAGGTAATGAGTAATAATATATAATAATAATAATTGCAATGTTAGTCCTTGGTGTTAGTCCTTCTATTAATGTACAATTCTTTTGGCACGTTGTACAACTAATTAATGCAGTCAAAAGTTAATGTACAAAATTGTATGCATGTTGTACAAAAGTATTAATGCAGTGTTGGTCCTTTCCAACTCTCACTTCTAAATAAGGTTAGATAAATAGTAATCTTAGCTTCTAAGAAATGTGACATCATCATTTACATATC